TCCTGACTCCTGATGGCACCTGGGGACAAGCAGGGGTGGGGGCTGCTGGCAGGTCTTCCAGGTGCCTGTGATGGGAGGAAGCGGTGGGCACATACGTGTTCAGCGGGTGTGTGCTGGTTCAGTCCCCAAGTGCCTCCTATGTGCCAGGCACGGGGCTGAGCACGGAGGACGCGAGACACAGTCTGGCTGGCAGGACAGATAAGAAACTGCAAACAAGTAAACGGAGAGGCAATATCTGCAGATATTGGTAAGCGCTACAAAGAAAGTAAGACGGGATGCCACAACCATCTTGGAAAACAGTCTGGCAATTTCTTAAAAAGGTAAATAGAGGCCTGCCATATGATCCCGTCATTCTGCTCCCAGATATCTACGCAAATGGTGTCCAGTGACTGTGCCCTGAATGAATGAATGACTGTTCTGCACGTCTGTATTGAAGGTACAAAGATAAAACTTGGCTGAGGCAGGCAGGATGGGTGAAGGATAGGGCAGAGTTACACTTGAATTCCAGAAGCGTGCTCATGAAAGCTATCACCCCAAAGCCTCGTGGAACATGCTGTGTGAGGGCCGACATGTCCTTGCACAGTCGGGACTGAGCCATGGCAGAAACTCTGGCTCCTTTGACAACAGTCACTTTCCTTTGTTCTTGTGAGCTACCCTCCAACCCCAGCCAGCTGGGCTTTGTGCCCCCCCACCATGCCTCCTGCACCAGCTGGTCAGGGTGAACACAGTGTCACTGTGTGACCGCCGGCAACATTCCACAGACCCAGCCCTGTGTTTGCCCCACAATCTGTCTTCCCCTCCTTGCCTTGCCCCATCCTTTGCATATCCAAGCCTGGGCTATGGTTTCCTGAGATGGGGCAGTGGCGCTAAGAGACGAATGTCAAATTCCCAGAGCCAGACCTTCTCGGTCCCCAGCCCAGGTTCATACCAACCAGTGACTTGGGCAATCCTTCCAACTTCTCTTAACCTCAATCATTTTATGTAAACAAGGATGAGGACAGCACCCACACCATGGGGGCACTGTGAGAATTTACTACTGAGAATTCACTGCAGAGCATTTTTCACACTGCCTACCACAAATTAAGTACTTAATTAATGACGGCCTTAATCTAGGCCTTGTGTTTTCTCCTTCTAAGGTGATCATGGTCTTGTTACACACCTATAGACGTGAATGAAACACCTCTAGGATCTCAGGTGGTTGGGGACTATTTCTTAGAAGAGCATTGATAGAGGCGCCTGGGTGGCTCAGTTGGTTGAACATCTGCCTTTAGCTCAGGTCATGATCCCAGGGTCCTGGGATCCAGCCCTGTGAGGGGACTGAGCCTTGCCTCAGGCTCCTCATTCACAGGGCAGCCTGCTTCTCCTCCTCCCTTTGCCACTCCCCCTGCTTGTGCTCTCTCTGTGTTGTCTCTCTCTCTGTCAAATATATAAATAAAATCTTTAAAAAAGAGAGAATTGATGATTAATAATGTAATGTCATCATATCCACCATTTATTGAGGAATTGTGATCTCTTCTAGGGATCACATAACCAGTAATTAACAATTATACTGAATAATAGTGGCCAATCCTGATTTAGCACTTACTATCAGCTAGGCCCTATTCCTAATGCTTTTTGTGTATTAACAAATCCTAACAACACTTTGATGAAGAAAAACTATTATTATCCTCATCTTACATATGAAAAAACTAAGCACAGAGAGGCAAAGCAACTGGCCCAAGTTCAACCAGTAAGTGGCAAAACCAGGATTCGGATGCCTCTTCCCCTGTGTGCTAACTCTGCAAAGATCAAACTAGGTGTAGTCTTTTCCCAGTTCAAGATCCCAGTGGCAGGTGTTGGGGTGCTCTGTCGCCTGGGCAGGAGGACTGTATCTCCAAACAGGGCATCAAATTAGGCCACTGGTCCCTGGAGTCCTGCAAAAGTCCCACTTTCTTTGTGTCTGGAGAGAGTACTTGTCTTGATACCATCTCGGGACCCTCCCACTCCCCACCGCCAATTCCAGGCAGTCTCGTGGTTTCTCCCTCCCAGAAACAAGAACAAGCACTCAGACCGACTCTAAGGAGACCTTTCCCCCAAGTGACTCTAATAAAAGCTGGTGTTCTCCAAATGAAAATTTTCTCTGGTTATGGATGAGGGATGGGGTGGGGAGGGATGGGGGTGGGAATTACTGTTCTTGTTTGGGATAGGGAGAGCTTGGTCAAGTCTTAAGAGAGATGCCAGGTAAGACAGCCTTTTCTTTTTTTATTATTAATTTTTGAAATTTTTTATAAACATATAATGTATTTTTATCCCCAGGGGTACAGGTCTGTGAATCGCCAGGTTTACACATTTCACAGCACTCACCATAGCACATACCTTCCCCAACGTCCATAACCCCACCACCCTCTCCCAAACCCCCTCCCCCCAGCAACCCTCAGTCTATTTTTTGAGATTGGGTCTTTTATAGTTTGTCTCCCTCCCGATCCCATCTTCCTTCATTTTTTCTTTTCCTACCCCCCAAACCCTTCATGTTGCATCTCCACTTCCTCATATCAGGGAGATCATATGATAGTTGTCTTTCTCTGATTGACTTATTTCACTAAGCATAATACCCTCTAGTTCCATCCATGTCATCGCAAATGGCAAGATTTCATTTCTTTTGATGGCTGCATAGTATTCCATTGTATAATATATACAAATATATATATATCACATCTTCTTTATCCATTCATCTGTTGATGAACATCTAGGTTCTTTTCACAGTTTGGCTATTGTGAACATTGCTGCCATAAACATTCAGGTGCACGTGCCCCTTTGGAGCACCACGTTTGTATCTTTAGGGTATATACCCAGTAGTGCAATCGCTGGGTCATAGGGTAGCTCTATTTTCAGTTTTTTGAGGAACCTCCACACTGTTTTCCAGAGTGGTTGCACCAGCTTGCATTCCCACCAACAGTGTAGGAGGGTTCCCCTTTCTCCACATCCTCGCCAGCATCTGTCATTTCCTGACTTGTTAATTTTAGCCATTCTGACTGGTGTGAGGTGGTATCTCATTGTGGTTTTGATTTGTATTTCCCCGATGCTGAGTGATGTGGAGCATTTTTTCATGTGTCTGTTGGCCATCTGGATGTCTTCTTTGCAGAAATGTCTGTTCACGTCCTCTGCCCATTTCTTGATTGGGTTATTTGTTCTTTGGGTGTTGAGTTTCTTAAGCTCTTTATAGATTTTGGATACTAGCCCTTTATCTGATATGTCGTTTACAAATATCTTCTCCCATTCTGTCAGTTGTCTTTTGGTTTTGTTAACTGTTTCTTTTTTATTTATTTATTTATTTATTTGACAGATAGAGATCACAAGTAGGTAGAGAGGCAGGCAGAGAGAGAGGAGGAAGCAGGCTCCCTGCTGAGCAGAGAGCCCAATGCGGGGCTCGATCCCAGAACCCTGAGATCATGACCTGAGCCGAAGGCAGAGGCTTAACCCACTGAGCCACTCAGGCGCCCCTTGTTAACTGTTTCGTTTGCTGTGCAAAAGCTTTTGATCTTGATAAAATCCCAATAGTTCATTTTTGCCCTTGCTTCTGTTGCCTTTGGCGATGCTCCTAGGAAGAAGTTGCTGCGGCTGAGGTCAGAGAGGTTGCTGCCTGTGTTCTCCTCAAGGATTTTGACGGATTCCTTTCTCACATTAAGGTCCTTCATCCATTTTGAGTCTATTTTTGTGTGTGGTGTAAGGAAATGGTCCAATTTCATTGTTCTGCATGTGGATGTCCAATTTTCCCAGCCCCATTTGTTGAAGAGTCTGTCTTTTTTCCATTGGACATTATTTCCTGCTTTGTCAAAGATTAGTTGACCATAGTGTTGAGGGTCTGTTTCTGGGCTCTCTGCTCTGTTCCACTGATCTATGTGTCTGTTTTAAGACAGCCTTTTCTTTCCTCCATTCTTCCCATTTACAATTGAGGGGTAGACAGTGTTTAGATAAAATCTGTGTGTTCTGCAGTTTCCTTCCTTCTGGAGACAAGTGTGTCCTATAGTTTTCCTGCTAGTTTTCCAGCTAGATTTTCCTAACGTTTCTGGTATACAGACTCCAGCAGACTCCATCATATCAATAATGACCTTCTGTATGGGTAATAACAATAGCTCGTGCATACTGCTCATTTACTACGTGGCAGATGCTGTTCTGGGCACTTGACCTTGACAAAGACACTACTATCCTTGACCAAATTTGCTTTAGGTTCCTCTGAGCCCTCTTCTAAACTAGGCCTGGCCTTCTCTGTTCAGCCTGTCCTTGCTGGGATTGCAGGATCCGGTTTTAGCAAGAATCCTACTGAGTCAGTTGAGCGAGGAGCCCCCCCACCCTTGATATCTGGTCACCCTCCATATCTGATCAAGTTCCCCATTCCCCATCTTTGGTGTCTAAGTCCTGGGCTGCTTCTAGCAAGAATCCTGCTGTTTAGCAAGAATCTCCCTACCCTTTACATCTCCTCTCGGTATTTTCCACCCATGGATCCCTTCCCTCCGTCTGCGCCTGTGCTGTCTGTCCCGGAAAGCGAGTTTCCGCACTCTCCCCCTACTGCAATACCCCTCTGGCGACAGTCCTGAATAAACTCTCCCTTACCCGCTCCAGCAAGTGTCCGAATAATTTTTTCATCAACGACATGAATGAGTTCATCTAACCTCACAAGGATCCTAAGAGGTAGACGTACAGTCAACGTCTCCACTTAGAAGCGAGGACGGAGGAAGGCGAGAGGATGCCCTCCAGGGTGAGCCTTCAGCTGTTGGCACCTGGACGTCCCCCCGAGTTCTTCGGCTGCGGGTGGTCCCATCAGTCCATCTGTGGGGATACTAACCAAGCAAGATATCGCGCCCTCGGCGACACAGAACCCCATACTCCCCATTAGCCTGCCGAACTGCGTGGGAGGCAGCGAGCGCGAGAAACCCCGAGGAGGGCGCTAGCGGCGGGACGCCGTCTCCTAGCAACCGGGTCTGGGATCACGTGACCTGCCTCACGTGGCCGGGCGGGGCGGGGCGGGGCGGGGCCCGGCAAGTTTGTTTCCCGAGTTCGGAGCCCAGGAGCCCCCGCGGTTGCCGCGCAGGTGCCCTCCGTCGGGGTCAGGATGGAGCTCCCTGCGGTGAACCTGAAGGTGGAGACGGGCAGGGCGCGGTGCGGGCAGGGCGGGTCCCCCAAAGTGTGCGGCTGGGGCGGGAGGACGTTTGATTTTTTCAAGAAGGATTTCAGAAGAGAGAGGATCGACAGCTCGGGGCAGGAGGGGGTGGTAGGGGGACAGCGAGAGACGTGGACCCCGGGGGGGAAGGAGGTGGGCAGACCGGCCGTTGCAGGGAGAGGGATCCAGGGAAAGGCCCGCGGGAAGACGGAGGGCGAGCTGGAGGCGGTGGAGGAGTTTAAGGGCCGCCGGTTCCCCTTTCCGGCCTCGGCGCCTCCGGCCGCTTGCCCGGGGAGCCCGAGGATCGCTTCGGCCTGCGCGCCCAGAATTCCCCTGGAGAGAGGGAGGGAGGGAGCCGCGGGGTGGGGGCGGGTCCTGAGAGCCCGGGGCGCGGGGGGAGGGTCCCGGCGGCGGACACCTGCCCGTCGCCGAAGGAGGGGCTGGACGGTCCACCTGCACGTCCAGCGCCGCCGCGCTGCTTCGTCGGCTTCATCAACTTAAGAAAAGCCGAAACGCCCAGACCAGTGGTTTCCAAAGCGCTTAAATCCAGCGTCCTAACTTCGTAAGAAACAGGAACTCCAATAGAAGTTACCGACGCAGAAAACCCCAACTTTGTGCCTTTAGGGAGACACTGCGAAGCTTCCTGGGCTGTCTTCATTTCCTGTGGCATGTCCTCAGCTCCTGGGTGCCAGCGGCTTCTTCATTTTGTCCCCGCCCCCGGCGGGCTCTGCTTCTGGCCTGTGCAGGCCCCAGAGGGGCTGGGGCCTTTAGCTTTGGTCAGGAAGGTGTGAACGTCGGCCCAAACCTGCCATTTGGGGTCACAGTGCTGTCCCCTTGAGACTGTATCCAAAAACGCCCTTTTACTCTCAGTGACAAAGCAATTAGCACACGTGGTACCCAGCACCGAAGGCCTGTGAGGGACAGAGGAGCACAAAAGTACACGTGATCCACGTCTGGGTTACTAGGACTTCATGGGGCAGATTTCCCTTATCCTCATTTCCCTCCCAGAGGCTTCCAGCCAGTTTGATTTATAGGAGGAAACCGAGGTTTGTTCCTATCAGCATTCCCTGTGTTCCAGGCAGTGTCTGCAGTCAGTGCCCCCTGCCTTTTCTCTGATGAGAGTTTTGCCTAAAATCATTCCTAAGAGAGCATCAGGCGAGGGTCAGAGCTGCGGGAATGGAGAGGGCAGGGAGCCCTGGTTCCTGGAGCATCTGTGGTGTGCCAGGCAGTTCATTTGGTCACAGCCAGCTTCTGAGAAAGCTGATATTGTCACCTTTTTTACTCCTGAGCAAACTTCGGCTGGGGCAGATAAGTAATTTGCCAAAGTCCCACAGGGATTAAGTGGCACAGTCCAGCTTTGAACCCCCTGGGGTCAGACTTCAAAGCCTTGCCCTTTCCTGGCCACCAGTTAGGGCTGGCTTTGGCTTTGATGGTTTCCATCCACTGGGAGGGCTTAGTCTGTTCAGGACTTTTTTGGTTTTTCGGGGTTTGTTTGTTTGTTTGTTTTGAGCAACTTTATGGGCCTACAGTCCAAGCACGCCCACAGGTATGAGCTGTGCTGGCGTTCTCTGCCCCAAAGTGAAATGGGGGTCCCTTCCCTTGGCTTAGGAAGCAGGACCCTGTGTTTCCAAAGGTTTTAGCTGCTACCAATCAGAGATAAGTCAGTGCTGGGAGGCCCTGAAGGGCCAAGGTTGCCAGGAACATAAAGGACATCCTGTTGAATTTGAATTTCAGATCAACAGTGGATAATTTTTCAGCATAAGTCTATCCTAGGCAATATTTGGATCATACTAACAAAAGGCTTATTAACCAAAATTCAAAACGAACTGGGCGTTTTGTATTTTTGTTGTTGTTAAATCTGGCCACCCTAGGGAGGGCGGCTGTCGACTCCTTGCTTGTAGGTGCTTAAGTGGGATGTTGGGAGATCAGGGCTGCCTGGGAGCTGGGAGAGCGCACCCTGTGGACCTGCCTTCCCTCATTTCATATTCCATGGTATTTGGTTGAATCCTGCTCATGCCCAGCCCTGCCAGAGCGGTCAGTCATGCCAGTGGTCAGAAACAGCTGCCCCAGACCCTTCACACAAAGGGCCGTAACTGAGTCCCATCTGGGAGAAATGACATTGTGACAAGCTTAGAAAGGAGCAGACTTGGGCTCAGAAGGTCTTGTGAAAAAAGGCCAAGGGAGGAGGGCCCAGGGAGCAGTGTAGCATTTGGTTAAGGACTCAGCAAGCCAACTTCCTAATGGTGGCAATGAGAATGGCCACGCACTGAGGGCTGACTACCCGGCGGGCACTGTGTTGTGTGTTTCGCATGCCTCTCCACCTCCCTGTACCACTAGATCCACAGAACAGCCCCGTGACACTGGCGTGATGGTCCCTACTTCATAAAAGTGCAAACGGCAGTTCCGAGAGGTCAGGTGACTTGCCCAAGATCACACAGCGTCCACGGTCATGGAGCCCCGACTCCCTGGGACCAGATCTGCATATCTGACTTCGTTGCCCACTGCCTGACTTTGCCTCCCTGGCATGGCGTTCCTGACTTCGGTCTCAGCTTCAGCTATCCTTGGGGACCTTTCTACCTCATGTAATGGGCTGTGTTTACACAGGACTAAGAGAACTGGATTCCCCATATTGATCTATCGACCTTAGGTCTGTCTACCGCCTGTCTAAGAAGTCTCCTCCTGCCCCATTCGCCCCGGGCCCTTCAGTAGCAAACAAAGGGTCTGAGTCCTGGTCCCCACGTCCCCTTGGCTTCTCCTTAGCCTTCCCTTCTGGTTAAACCTCATTTCCATCCTCCCTTCCCTTACTCTTCGAGATCCTGATGGCGAAGCATAGTCATGACCGTTTACTAGCTGTGTGACCTTGAGCAGGTCTCCTAACTTCTCTGAGGATCCTTTCCTCACTGTACAAAGAAGATAAAAATAAACCCTACCTTCTAGGGTGATAAGAGGAGGATCCTGTGGTCCCGGAGCTGGTGGGGCAGTACATTTTTAGTAGCAGAAAAAGTCAGACCAGATAGAGCGATTGGGACACTTGGCTCTGGGCTCTCTTTCTGTAAGCGTCACGGTGTGGGCCGATTGCTTAATCTCCCGCTGCCTCAGTATCTTCATCAGTAACAGAACATGACTGCTCCCCCCACACACATGGTGGCCAAGTGTTCAGGGCAGTGCAGACACATGGCAGGCAGGTCCGGGCTGGTACCAGGAGTTGTGTTGTTAACGCTGTTAACACAGGATACCTGTTCCATGCAGGTACTTACGGTCATTACGTGGTCTTTACGTGGATTCACTCAGTGACTGTGAGACGCCTGTCTCTGTGGTTGAGGGATAGCAGGTGGGAGCGGGGGAAGGAAGGGATTGCCTCCATTCAGAGACCAAACCTGGGGCACAGACACAAAGGGACGTGACCCCTGGACCAGAACCCAGGCCTCCACTCCAGCACCTACAACTCCCGGCTGCCTTGGCTCATCCGCCCTCTCCTTCCCCGTCTTCTGGGGAAGAGCTAGGCAGCCCCCGGGTGCCAAGCACTATATGAAGAGTCCAGGAGCTTCAGTCTGTCTTTGCTCTGGCCCAGCCGGGAAGGACTGCCCAGTCACATTCTCAGAGGCCAGTGCCTCCCTCCCCCAGTCTCTCAGGCAGTACCTGAGAATCCCTGCTGTCCCCTTGGTTACCAGAAACGTCCCCAGCAGCGGGCAGACAGTCCTTTGTGCTGAGATGAGTCACTGTTCCCTCCTGTGTTGGGAAGAGCTGGGCCCATTTGGCTCGGTTGCTGGTTGGAGCACTCCTGGACAGCAGGCCTCAGGAGGCCTGGGTGGCTGTGCCCTCCCATTACAAAGATGGGGAAACTGAGGAAGAGGAGACTTTGTTTTCTGGGGCTTTCTATTCCCATGGGGCTTAAGAGATGTGATCAAAAGCTGCTAAGTTTCTTAACTATAAAACAAAAGTGATGGCACACGGAGGGGACACAGTATGTCCTTAGGGATCCTCTGTATTTCCAGGTTGTGCTCTTCCCAAAACAGGTGGCTGAATTTGGACTTCGGGCAGGCGCTCACTGCATGTTACAGGTCTCTCTGGCTCTTGGCTAAATCTTTGTCTCGCAGGTGACACAGAGCCCTTTCCCCACAGGCTTGCCTGCGTATCGGCTGGTTTCCGGGTCTCAGCTTTTCACCTCCCCTTCGTCAAGCAGGGCTCTGCAGGGCCAAGAAGCACCCAAGTGTTAAAGACCCGTTGTGTGTGTGGTCTGGGTGTGAGAACCAGAGCACCTGAAAATGAAGACGGTTTCTGGAACAGAAGCCAACAGCGGGCAAGGCTCAGGTGTTGATTTTCAGAAGGAAGGTGTTCATGTGAGCTGCCTCCCCTGTGCTCCCTTCCTCTGTGTCTTCTCTTATTCTGAAAGCCGGACACCAGGACCACTGCGGCTGGTCACATGCTATGGTCTTTGGGGCAGGGTTTCTCCCCTCTGTGGGCAGGGTTTCCTGTGAAGACAGAGGGGGTAGTGGTTGGCTCTTGAGATAAAGATCAGAATTCTTCCCACAACCCCCAGGCGTGGTCCTGCCCACCCCCAGCTTCCTGTCTGTCTTCCACTGTCTTCCATCCAGCTACATTGGCTTCTTTTCCATTTCCAAAATGTTCCATGCCGGGTGAAATGTTTGAGAAACTTAACACCATTTCATCCTGTCTCTTGAGCCTCTGGGAAAAGAAACCCACGGCCGACTAAGCCTCCTCTCCATCAGTTTCCCCATCTTTGTAATGGGAGGAGCACACCCGCCCAGCCCCAGGGAGGCCTAGTGGTCAGGCAGTACCAGGGTCACAGTCAGGTTTGAGCTGTGGCTCTGCCACGGGGCAGCTGTGTGACCGTGCGCAAGTCACTCGCCCCGAGCCTCCCAGTTCCTCAGCTGTAAGTGGTGCCTCCGTGGGCTGTGAGGGTTAAGCGCGTCTGCGTACAGAACACAGCGTGATGGCCACATTTAGGAAGCGTCCAGAGCAAACAGAGGTAGCCGGTCACGGAGCTGCCTTCTAGAGCCAGCCTTCTGTGGTGTAGACATGGCTCATCAGAGGCCCAGCCCCTCTGCAAGGTTAGGAGCCCTAAGGTCCTTGCAGAGCTCTTCTCCCAGCCTAACGCCTTGCTTTCGGGCCACGGTGTCTTTGGGTTCGCTGGCACGGGGCCTGGGGGTGATGGTGGGACGTCCCGGCCCCCTGCTCTGATTTGAGCTCCCCGCCACGTGCAGAAAACATCCTCGTTTGTCACAAGCTCCCCTCCGCTGAAAGCCCAGTGTCCCCCCGCCCTGTGAAGGTTGGGAGCAGTGGAGTCAGACTTACACTTGAACTCGAGTTTCACCGCATACCATCGGTGGAATCTGGATCAGCTTAATTTTCCTTGGAGTCTAGTTTTCCCGTGTGTGAAATGGAAACGATCATGGTGTCTGTTCCAGAGGCTCTTGCGAGGCCCGAAGAAGGGGGCGTGAGGCGTTTGGCGCACAGCAAGTGTACGATAAGTAGTACCTCTTCTCGGAGGGCTTTCCCCTCCACAGCCAGAGTTTTTTCCTACAGGTGCGAGCCGCACTTCTGCCCTTTCACGGGTCCGGAAGCCTGGGCTGTTCACTGCACGCCCTTGCTGTGTCTGCCCTCACTTCCAGGCTGGTACACTGCTCCCGCCCCGGGCTCTTGGCAGCCCCCCCCCGCCCAGCTTAATGCCCTCAGTCCCTTGAGTAACTCCTTCAAGGTCCCTCGTCTACCACTGGGATCCCATGGAAGCTCCTGACGGGGGACTTCTGGTCCCCTGCCGGTTCGGGCCCACTCCCTCCTCCTCTTTTGGGCTCTGGGTCCTGCCTCCCCATTGATCTTCCTACGTACCCTCTCTGGAACACCTTGCTCTCCTCCCTTTGGCCTGGCTGGTCCCTGCCTGTCCCTGAGTACAGAGCCGCCTCCCGGTTTCGGGAGCTCCAGCAAACAGCTGCCCTCCCTTCCCCAGAGCATCTGCTCCCTCCTTCTTCATCTGCTTTCCAAGAAGGACCCTTTTGATTACCAGGAGTCGAGACAAGTTCCTAGCAAAGGGGGCTGTGATTTTAAGGACGTATGGGACAATGAAAGGGGTTGTGGAATGGTGCAGAAATCTAGAAAAAAGCCAGAGGGATTTTTTTTTTTCTTAAACCCTACCAAGTTCCTTGCTTGTAGAAAAGCCTTCCATAGCTTCCCTCCGTGCACTTAGGATGAAATCCACACTCCTTGCTGAGGCCCTCAAGGCCCGCCTCTCCCCCTGGTCTCCCGCTCCCCTCCCCCTGCTTTTCCCCTTTTGCCTCTGGTGCTCCCTTGGTGCACGGGGCAGACAACGCCTGTGCCCCATACCATATACCAGCCCCGGTGTGCCAAGAAACCAGCCTCTTGTGAGTCCCACGCCGCCCCTCCCCCTCAGCCATTTCCAGTCCAGGTATATCCTCTGATGCCAGAGCTGATTGTGAAACAGGAGGGGGTGTGGGTGTCTGCTGCCCCAAGGGAGTAGGGCAGAGCCACATGGCGGCTCCCCCAGGCCTGACATGCGCTCTTCCTCCTTCACGCCTGCTTTGCTCACTGTTGCTGGTATTCTCTTGTTTTTGTTTTGTTTTGTTTTAACAGACATTTGTAAAGCCCTGTTAGGTGCTAGACAGGGACTTCCTGTGTTTTCTGCCTCCGGAAGCTCTCCCCACCTCTCCCCAGATGGTGGTGTCACTCCTCATTCTTTTCCTTCCTTCCCGCAGATGATCCTGCTGGTTCACTGGCTGCTGACGACCTGGTGAGTGACTTTGCAGGTTTCCACTCCTGTGTCCTCCTGTCTCCCGGGATCCGGGTCCACATCCCCCAGGCTCCCGTCCACGTGTCTCCCTGCCAGTTCCAGAACTAAATAACAGCTTTGTCAAGAATGTCATCAGCAAGCTCCCCAGGTCCCAAGAATGTCTGAGGGGCAGGCAGTTTCCAGAGGCCTGTGCCATCGCCGCCCCCCCCAACAGAAGCTTCAAGTCTTCATCCTAGGGGAGGTGGCTGGCCCAGGACAGTCCAGACATGCTCCTCCAGACATGCTCAGGCCCTTTTGGGGGCTTGGCGTGACTCTGGTGCCTCCCCCAAGGCCTTTGTATCTGGAAGGTATGAGGCGCTAAAGCCAGGGGGCCAGTCTCACATAGCCTGCTGGACTCCCCAAGGCAGCCAGGGGTGTTTGCCAGCTAGAGCTCTGTGTGTCTTTGACCTTGGGTCCGTCAGTTAGACTCCCTGAGTCATTTTGTCACCTGTAAAATGAGAGCATGACTGACCTTCCTGTTTACCCTGTGAGGTCATTGGATGCTGAAAGCCCCATTTTAAAAACTGTAATAACCACTAACATTTCTTGAGGGTGTCCAGGAGCCGGCTCAGCAAGTAGATACTTCATGACCCTAGACCCGGGGTGGGGTCACTTGCTTAGGGGTGGGCCGCAGTCTTACATCACACTCCTGCCCAGAGATGGCAGACTCGGGATTCAGATGGACCTGGCAAGGTCCTGGGTGAGCCCTGGTCCATCTTAGGTTTCCATCTGTAAAATGGGTATAAGGATGGCACAGCCCTCAGGGGCCGTGTGGGAGAAGTAGGTTGTGTTCATCCGACCCCAGGGCCCTGTGACAGAGGGAGGCTCAAGCATTACGGACTGATCTCATGATTGCTGTGTGTTTCACCTGCTGAGCTGCGGGGCCGTTGCCCTGCGGAAGCAGGACTGGAGACCACTGGCTTCCGTGTGCCTGTTGCCGACCTCACTGTACGCTGCACGTGTAAAATGGCTGGGAATAAAGCAGACAGTGAAGGTCATGGCTAATGACTTGGGAAAGCAAGGTCCGAGTAGAGACTTCTCAGTCATACCCCCGAAGATTCTGAGTTGTGATCTGGGCACCCCCCGCCCCCGCCCTGCACTAGCTTCTTTAAAACCAGAAAACCAAAAGGGCAAGTGACCTATTCAACGACTACCAAGCCCAGTCATGTTCTACACTTCACAGCTTTGCCTACGCTCTCTGTAGGGTTCTCTTCAGGGTCATGTAAGTTAATGAGGCGCCCCGCTGCGTGCCGGGAGCCCCCAGGACTGCTGTGGGTGAGGGCGCGCACTCTGGAGCCAGGCTGTCTGAATTCAAATGCCACCCCCACCCCTTAGAAGCTGTGTGGCCTGGGGCAAGTTACTTGATCTCTCCGTGCCTTAATTGCCTCATCTTTAAAATGGGGATAATAATCATGCCTCCTTTCTAGAGTTGTTAACATAAATGCACATAAGTGAGTTCATTTAAAGCAAGAACCGTGCGGGACATTTTTAGGGGCTCTGTGTTAACTAATATTTTCAGTGGGTTGACGAACCAAGAAGTAAACCAATCAGATGGTAGTTGGTAACGATGCCCTAAAAAATAAAATAGGAAGTCACAAGCTGGTATTTAAAACTAGGCGGTCGGGGAAAGAGTCTCAGCGTCCACGTGGGGGCTGAGACTAACACGGCAGGGCTATGTGCAGGGAAGAGGACGCTGTGCGGGAAGTGGCTGGAGGTATAAGGGGGTGACGACTACATCACGGGCCGCGGCCCACAGGGCTCCTCAGGCCACGGGAAGAGTGTATTTTGTTTCAAGTGGGAAGGAAAACTGGGGGAGACTCTCAGCCGAGGAGTGACGTCCCCAGATTTACATGACTCCTGGCTGTTTGGAGAAGGGCCTGGATGGGCAGGAGTGGAAGTAAGGAGGCCCGCGGGGAGAGGCTGCGGTGACAAATCCTGGCCGGAGAGGATGGGGTTTTGGAGCCAGAGGGATGTGGCCAGATTGGGGATCCACTTGGGAAATACAGGCAATGGGCTTTGCTGACGTTTCCAGGACCCAGCCGGGGAGGAGGAGAGCAAGTACTCTGTGGCCTCCTCACAGAGGGCCCGGGACTCAGGAGCCGGAAAGAGGGGGCCTGCGGGAGGGGAAGGGGTGGGCCCCTGTGGGGCAGTCACCTGACATGACCTGGGTGCTCCTTCCCACAGGGGCTGCATCACGTTCTCGGGCCCTTACCCCTGGGCCAACTTCACCATCTTGGCGGTGGGCGTGTGGGCCGTGGCTCAGCGGGACTCCGTCGATGCCATAAGTCTGGTGAGTCGGGGGGAGCAGGGTGGTCTGTGGCCCCCACTCTTGCCCCCTCACCCAACCCAGCCCTATCTCTTCCTTGTAAGCAAGGGGCCCCCCGACCTTGCTCCCTGTTTTCCATTTCTTAAGCCTTGTGAAGAAGCCGTCCCCAGCTACCAGCCCAGGTGTGTCCTCTCTAGCCTGGCCCGTTTCTTGGCCTGCGTGGCTCCGAGAACCCTGAGTCTGCTAGTTGCCTTCCCCGAAGGAAACACGGGTGGGTCCCCCCAGGCGCCCCAGCTTGGCTCCTTCTCGAGGGCACTGGAGCATGTCCCCGGTAACCTGCCTCTAGGGCCCTATTAGTGGGGGGGGCTGGTGGGAGCCCCATGGAGAGGGAGCTCCTCTACCTCGTGAGGTCGGAGTGGACACAGCCCCGAGGGGCAGCGAGAGCTCCCACACGGGCCTGTCGGGATGACTGAAAAGGGGGCTCCCATGGTGCAGATGGATTGAGTGAACTCTAAGGGACCTTCCATTTCGAAGGCTCTAGAACCAAGTTTGGTGCCCCACGTCACGGGGGGAGTGGTGACAGGCTGGGTCCGGACCTGGGTCCTGCCAGCTAGCCAGCCGATCTGTTTTCCAGCAAGACCTAAGGACGCAGGCGGGCAGGGACGGAGCTTCCATCTGGCTTACATGGTAGGGCAGCCGTGAGCAAGGACAGAGCATCGGGGAGGGCATAAACCCTAATGGCACGTGGTCACCCTTGCAGTTTCTCGGCGGCTTGGCAGCCACCATCTTCCTGGACATCGTCCACATCAGCGTCGTCTACCGGCAGGCCGGCTTCACGGACACACAGCGCTTCGGTGCCGGCATGGCCATCCTCAGCCTGCTCCTCAAGCCCTTGTCTTGCTGCTTCGTCTACCACATGTACCGGGAGCGCGGGGGTGAGCTCCCGCTCTGTACTGGTGAGGCCACCACCTCCGGCTGGCTCCCTGACTGACCTCTCACCGGCCAGGGTGTTGGCAGCGCCGTCTCCCACATCTCCCCTGTCTCTGTCTTGCCTGACACGCAGCCCAAGTGAGCTGACCTTGCCCTGGGGAACAAGGGCTCAAGGCACGGGGGCAGTGGGGGCGGGGCCTGGTGCCGACCCCAAAAACCAGGCTGGAAGGGATAAAAGCTCCGGTCTCTGCTGCATGAGCCCAGTGCTCCTGTCCCCGCCTGCTGTGAGCTTTCCCAGGCATCCAACTGAGGGCAGAATTGGCAGCAGAACCAGAACCCCGTCTCAACCCCAGCGCTGAGTGCCGATGCAGCTGGGTGTGCCTCAGTCCCACCGGTGGCTCTGGGCGGCCTGCAGCCCGATACCTGTCAGCATTCCCGCGGCTGGCTCCTCCTCAGCACCTGCCAGCTGCAGGCCTAGAGCCTGCCCTCCTGCCGTGTGGGGTCTGGGTGGCCAACAGAGAAGGGCTGCTGGCATGCACCATGGAGCCTCGGCCGAAGCTGGCCCTGAATTTGCCCTGCTCACGTCCTGGTCACCTCAGCCTGGCCCACCGCAGACCCTCCCACACCCCCTGCTCATGGTGGCTGGGCCGTTTTCCTGTTCTCTCTCACGTACTGCTCATCTCCTTTCTCTCAGAGAGGTGGGGAGAGAGTGGGGGGTGGTCTTCCACTGTTCCCTCCCAAGAAAAGCGGCCCAGAGGGGCCCATGACCCACAGAGGGGAGCATCTGGGCCAGGGCAAGAGGGGCCTGCCGCCTCCCTGGGACTGATCTCCGCCCTGGCCTGCCCTGGGGTTAGGGGGGCCCAGTAACGTTTCTCCCATTAGGCAGATGAGGGAGCTGGCACCTAGAGCCCTCGCCCCTACCTTGCACCCCCAGCTCAGGGCTCTGCAAACGGCCAGCTCTGGGCCCTCTGGATCCAGTAACACGGTGTCCACTGTGCCCGGGAGAGGAGGCTGTGAGCCCAGGACTGGGCGTCCTTCTGCTCAGATGAGTGCTGCTCCGAGAAGGCCCCAGCGTGATGGCCAGGAGCACTGGCCTTGGGTTTATGCTGCCTTGGCTTGAATTTCCGTGTCCTCTGCTTCAAGCGCCGTACTGGGGGCAAGTCAGTTCAACTCTTTGACCCTCAGTTTCTCCATCTGTAAAGTGGGGCCGCCCAGTACCTGCTCTGGGGGGTTATGGGAGGATTGGCTGAACACCTGCTAAAAGCTGGGGGAGCTGCTGCCACCATCACTGTCGTTCCTGGCAGCAGTGGGAGGGTGGTGAATCTTGGTTTGGACTCACAGTAGACCGTCGTGAGCCTTCACCCTTCGTTTTTTTCCTTCCCCCCTTGTTCCCCCCCCACCCCCAGGTTTCCTTGGACTGTCACAGGAGCGCAGTGACTACCAGACGATTGACTCACCAGAGGCTCCCACAGACCCCTTTGTAGGCTCAGACGGCAGGGGTCACTCCCCGCAAGGGTACTGAAGCCAGTCTGCTTTGGCCCCAGCTCAGGGGCCAGTGGAGCAGACCCCAGAGATGGCCCAGGATGCATCGCCCTCCTCGTGCCTCAGATGGCATTCCAGAGCTGTCCCTGACCTCCACGCCCCTTTCCTGGACTGTGTTCTCCTGTTCCCCATCACCCCAGGCAAGTGCCCTGAGTGGCCAGGAGCCCCGTGCACACCTTTCCCAGACTCCCTGAGGCCTCCGCTCCCTTCGAAGTACCCCACTGGTCTGAGGCTGGCAACCATGGTCTTTTTCCTCACGTCTGTTAGCAGCTCTGTGCAGCCCTGTCCAGCCATACCTGAGCCAGGCCTTGCCCACAGTTGGTTGACCTTGCCCACAGAAGCTCTGAGAGCTTTGGGTCATGGTCAGCCCCCAGAGCAGTCCAGCATGGAAGTGAGGTCCCTGTGCTTCTCATGCCTAGTAACTTGGTGCTTGGGGACCTTGGGGCTGGAGGTAGGAGACATCTGCAGCCCGGAGAACCCCCATGGCCGCCAACTGCCCTTCCCATGGCCATGGCATTCAGGTCTGGGGAATCCGTAGCTGGGGTGTTTTGAGCCATGGTTAATCTCCCAGCTGTGCTGGGGCCTGGACCTGCCATTCCTGGGAAGATTTCTCCTTTGAACCAGCGGGGAAGCTGGCTGGGCTTAGCTGCCGGGCCTGCTGTGGCTGGAGGAAACACATGCTGGTGACCCAGCTTTGGCCTAACCTCGGTCCCAGCAGCAGAGGGCGCTGTTCGGTGCAGCCAGTGGGCATCCGTGTCTCTGAGTCTGATGACTTGGGTATGGGTTTGCCTCCCTCTCAGCCACTTTCTGGCTGTGTGCCTTTGAGCGACTTAACGTCTCTGACCTCAGTGTCTTCTGGAAAAGAACCAGTGCCAGCCCTGGGGGTGATGATGTGAACCGAGTGTGTAGTGCCTGGCCCTGCAGCTCCCCAAGCCACAGTGAAGCTGGCGGGTGGCTCCGTGATCCTGTGACAATGTGGGGTCAGTAGGCAAGGGGCGACCTCTTCCTGGCAGACCCCGTGTCTTGGTTTCAGGGCCGACTGGGACCAACACCCATCCAGAAGCCCCAGGTGCCCCATGGCCAGGGTCCTAATCTACATCAACTGGACCGAGTGTTGACCTCTGGCTCTCCCAGGCCATTCCGGCTTGTCTCCGGTACAGAGAGATCAAGGCCTAGTGCACAACCCCACCACCCTCCTATATCCATCCATGCCCTGGGGCTCGGTACCTGTTACCGCTGCATGAGGGCTGCAAGGCTCAACTCTGGTGCCTGCTCTCAGGGAATAGACTTATTAGGAGTCCTCAGTCAGGAGGCAAGAGCTCCAGAAGAGACCCCTGGGAAGGGACCCGTGCTCTGGACCAGAGTGGCTGCAGCTGCAGGAAAGTCGGAAACAGCTCCACCATCAGAAGGGGACAAATAGATAATCTGTGGCACATTCATTGTATGGCTGTGGTTTGGCAGTTTGTGGGAATAAACCAGACCCTCTTTCTGTGGACATGAGTCGCCCTGTTGTGAGCAAAACAGATTCCAGGATGGCATCAGCAACGCGAGAGTGTTGGCCTGAATTTAAAACCTCCAAGCAATACCATATTTCGTTCACGAGTGTGTATGGAGTGGAATAGAGAAGTGTGGACTAGACGGAAGAATCCTTCAAGTTCGTGGTTGAGGCAGCCTTGGGTAGGGGAGAAGTGTGGCGTTTGGGGTATGGGACTAAAAACCCCAGTTCTGGTTCTCTTGTTCAGACCGGGTCCTGGCACACGGCAGGTTGTGCTGTGCCTTCCCCTGGGTGTATGTGGTCAGTATGTCAGTTTCCAAAGGGAATAGAAAGGGGGGGCAGTGGGGGCACAGCTAATAGAGCCTGTGTCAAGCGGAGGGGAGGGTATGTTCAGGGAGTCCGGTTCTTCATAGTCCCAGATCCTCAAGTCCAACCAGATCTTTATGGGGTTCGAGGAAGGCCCCTGTCTTAGGTAGGGGTCCCCAGAAGCAGACACTGAACGCAGTGTCTGGCTTGGTGCAAAGCAAGGGGGCCCAGGCTTTCTGGTCATTTGCCAAGGGCTGCCCTATAGTTGGGGACAGTGACTTGACTTAATCTTCTAGGCTCTTCTGGCTCCCTCGCCATGCAGGACAAATGGTCCCAGGAGCTGGAGGGCAGTCCTGCAAGAAGAGTGCCATCAGAGACACAGGGACAGTGAGGGCCACCGGTGGGATGTCTTTCCAAACAGCTGGTCTCATAACTGTCATCCTAACATTCATTCAACAAGCAACCAAGAGCCTATGGGAGCTAGAGTCTTCCAGCTGCTGGGGATACCAGAATTGGGGGGGGGGGGTGGATTCAATATGGCATGAGAGGATCCAGGCAAGGGAACAGCTCACAGGAAGGCTTGAGCAAGTTTGTGGCTGCCCAGCCTGTTTCTGGGCACAGTCGGGAGGCTGGAGTGGCTAGAGCCAAGGGAGGGAAGAAGGAATGAGGTCAGAAAGGCAACAGGGACCAGGTAGCAAAGGGCTAGTAGGTCATTTTGAGGACTTCGGCTGTTCTGAGTGAGATGGGGTTCGCTGCAGGGCTTTGGGCAGAATGGGACACAATCTGACTCACACTCTAAAAGGACCAAATGCTTGGGCTGGGAGGCAGAGATGCGGATGGTGACAAGTGGCCGTGTTGAGCTGAACAGTGGGCACCGATTGTCCCTTGCAGGGAAGGACATCAGGTGGTTCTGCCCACTGTCAGAGCAATCGGAAGCACCAAGGAAAGCCGCGCACTGGTCCAGGCACCGGCTGGACCACGCTTTACTCACCAGATCAGCCTCAGGGGGTGAGGGGGTCGCATCGGTCCCCTAAGGCTGGCAGTAACTGACACAGGGCAGTGGGCTCACTCTTCACCTCTCTCCTGCCACAGGGGAAGGACACTCCCCTTCCTCCGGAGGACAGACATAGCCGTGGGCAGGAGAGGTGCCATGAGACACCCATGTGTAATCAGAACAAAAGAACAAACCTGGCCTTTTGGGATGATATTCCCACACGAGGTGACAAGGTCAGCACAGGCTGTCATGGGCTCTTTATCTCCTGGTAAGGAAGTGTTCCAGCCTCAAGGCTCATTGGTACCCAGCCAGTGGGTTTGAAAGGCATTTGCCCACCAGGGCTGCTCTTGAAGATGTTCTGAAGGCAAGGTGCCGGATTACCCATGGATAGGACGGAAGAGAAAAACAAGAATGCACCATTGCAAGGTTTAGGGCCTGAGCAGCCTGGGGCTCAATCTGCCACTGACTGAGAGGGTGGGCGGCAGAAGGCCAAGTTCAAGGAAAGGCCAGATGAGCCACACTGAGAAAATGGGGCTTCTCACCATTGGCTTCTCACTGTGAGGCCAGCTTTTGTAGACACTTGGAAGTACTCTGTATTTTAGTCTAGAGCGTCTGCCGTTCTGGAAACTGTCGGCCACAGGAAGGAAATTTCTCATGCCTCTGGTCTCCTGTCGGTGAGGGCTGAAGTCACTTGGCTAGTTTCCAAATCTTGTATTTCTTGTTTTCACAAAGCTGAGCCTCCCAGTTGAGGGAGCCAGAGGCAAGCCCTTGTCCTGGGAGAGGTCACTGTCTTCTGGTGGCCAAAACTGGGCCAGAGCCATCCGTACCTGCAGGAGCCCCCACCTTAGGCCCATCCTATGAGTCAGTCCCCAGGATAGCCTCGAAATCCCAACTCTCCCAGCCTCCCTCCAGAATGGCCCTAGAGCCAGCAAGCCTTGATCAAATCCCTACTGCAACCCGGGACTGGCTGGGTAAGAGACATGACAGTGTCTTAACCTCACTGTGACTCAGTTTTCTCATCTGGAAAGTGGGGGTACTCACAGTGCCTGACTCAAGGATTAGCCTGACCATGTGTAACGTCAGTGTTTCTCATTCCCTGTTTACCAGGTTAATTATTCAGAGAGAGAGGGAGGGGGTGGCGAGTGTAGGGGAAGAAAGAATTTTCCTCAACCCTCTTAGGGTCCCTGGCTGGGTCTGAAAATTAAACGGACAAAGCTAACAGGAGAAAAAAGCATGTATGTTTTCTCAAACTTGTACATGTATACGAGAACCTTCACAAGAGAAGGAAGGCCTGAGAAAGTGATGAGACCAGGGAGCTTTTATAACTTTCACACAAAAAAACAATAAATGTGCGAAATATTGACAAGACAGGGGTGCTGGGGTGGCTTAGTTAGTTAGGCGTCTGCCTTCCACTCAGGTCATGATATCAGGGTCCTGGGATCAAGCCCCACATCAGGCACTTTGCTCCGTGGGGAGCCTGCTTCTCCCTCTGCTACTCCCCCCTGCTTGTGCTTGCTCTCTCTCTCTCTCTCTCTCTGTCAAATAAATAAAATCTAAAAAATAATAATAATAATAATAATAATAAAGGAATTGACAAGACAAAGGGTCTGGCCTTGGGTAGTGAATGGTGAAGAAATAATCAGGAAGATAAGGGTTAAATTAACAAGGTTTGTTTATACAGAATTCTTGGCTATAAATTCCCTGTCTCTGGTGATAAGAATCATCTTCTTTTTATGGACATTGGGGAGGGTATGTGCTATGGTGAGTGCTGTGAAGTGTGTAAACCTGGCAATTCACAGATCTGTACCCCTGGGGATAAAAATATATTATATGTTTATAAAAAATAAAATTAAAAAAAAAAGAATCATCTTCTTTCCTCCTGGTACAGGGAGAACACCTTTCACATAGGAGATTCAGGACCTATTTCAGGAAAGGACGGGGTAGGGTCAGAGTGACTTTCCTGCTTCTGCCATTTTTTTCAAACGCTGAGGTTAAGATGTTCGGTATGTCACAATGCCAGAATTTGAGGGGAGCATGTCCTGAGCCCCATCACCAGTCTGACCATCTGTTCGTGTATTCATTTGTTATCAATTCTATCATAACTTACTAAGTGCTTTCTACAAGTTTTGAAAAAAGTGGCCAGGAAGTAAAACAGGGGTTGTCTTCACTGGCCACTGCAGAACCCGGAGGGCCCAGTTCCCCAGGTAGTCGAGAGCTTGTGTTCATACCTATGAATCTAAAGGCTATTGACAGATTCAACAGGTTACACTGTTAGGGTACGGAGTCGACCACCCCTCAATTAGACAGAGAACACTCTCGATAATGCAAGTCACACAGCGAGGTTTATTTCCAGCTCGCTGGGGTCCAAGTATCCGCCCGGCACAGCGGGTTTCAACAAGGACCCCGAGCACTCAAAGCCAAGGGTTTATATAGCATTTTCAAGGCACTTCTTCATGGCTACATACATCTCTTGCGCCCCACTTTGACAGTTTAACTTTGTTTAACCTTTTTGCCACCCCGGTGTCACCCTGGCGGTTAAGTGAGATTTAGAAGAACTTTCATCTTAACTACATTTCCTCTGCTTCAGCCTCCCACAGTTTTGTGGTGGGGAGGGCGACCTTTGGCCTCGAGGCACTGATCCATTTGTCTCTGGAAATTGGGCCATTGAAGAGATGGCCTTTTTGTTGTAAATCACCAGGACATTTGCAAACCAAGGGAGATTCCTGTCTTGCAGGATTGTGATCTCTGCAAGTTAACTATTTGTTTTTCTTTAACATTTGGTCCCTGTGGCGCCACCACCTAACCGCCCTGGTGGTATATGATTAAGTTGTTTTTTCAGGTTTTAGCTACTTTCTCTTGTCTCAAGTCACGTACGCCCTGTGGGCTGGTTAGGGACGCTCAGTAAAATGGCTTCCCGGCCTTCAGGATGGCCATTCTTACGCTAACCCACTCTTACAGTGCAAGGCGCTGGCTTTTGCTTTGCCAAGATGGCTGTACTTATGTCAGGGCTAGGCTCGAGGTGGGTACAGTCTTGTTTTTCTTGGCCTTCACGCCTGGAGCTGGTTTCTGGGACTTGTTTTTAAGTCCCTTGGGGGAAGGGGAGCAGGAACAGTTTAAGGGTTAAACAACAAAGTTATTGTTTAACTTCAATGGAAGCCTCTGGCTAAAATAGAAATATAAAAGAGGTCCTTACAACACAAAACATTATCATAGCGAAGATCTACACACAGATTCACAGACTTCAACTTGAGCTTAGAGCTCCCGTAGCCCAGCAGTTTGAGACGTTTTTCCTTCCAAACCCTTGGTTCAAAAGAAATCTTAGCCAGGGTATAAAACAGAGCGGGTCTGACAGAGCCCCGCAGTGCTACCACCACGCTGAGACCGGGGCCCCAGGGCACAATATGAAAGCTCTTCTCCTACATCCACCTTATTCCGCAGCTTGGGACACAGGCCCCCAAAGAGGAGATGTGGCCAAGGGCACGTGGAGACTTCTTGATTTTAGGGCCGGGACGTGACAATGCGGAGACTGGGGTTTCGGGCAGAATTTAAAAGGAAAGCAACACAACTTCTACAAATGAACAGCTAGAGACTCTATGGTTGGGTTAATTCATAGAATAGATATAGCAGAAGAGAGAATCTGTAGCCTTGAAGATATATTTGAAGGAATTACTCAGAATGGAGCAAAAAGCACAAAAGAGAGGTTGAGAAACAAGGGATAGCATGAGAAGTTCTGACATAACTCTGTGGGAGTTCTGAAGGAGACCCTGGGAGAGAGGCAATGTTCAAAGGAATAATGGCAGGGAATTTTCCCAAATTAGAAACAGATATAGAAACAGGGATACCCACAAATATAGAAACAGGGATACCCAGGTGGCTCAGTCGGTTAAGCGTCAGCCTTCGACTCAGGTCATGATCCTGGGGCCCTAGGATCGAGTCCCCCATTGGGCTCCTTACTCAGCAGGGAGTCTGCTTCTCCCTCTGCCACTTCCCCTGTTTGTGTTCTCTCTCACTCTCTGACAAATAAGTAAATAAATAAAATCTTAAAAAACAAAACAGATATAGAACGAATGGTGCAGAACACCAGAGATGAACACTAGGATCCCCAAAGTGGGGGCTCCTGTCTGGCTCAGTCAGTAGAGCATGCCACTCTCAGTCTCAAGGTCTGGAGTTCAAGCCCCATGTTGGACAGTAGAGATTACTTTAAAAAGCTAATTTAAAAATAAAAATTAAAAAATTCCCAAAGCAAGCTGGTAGAAAAGATGTTGTCCTAAAAGAAATGACAATTAACACTGGCTACTGATGTCTCACCAGCAACAAAAGGAGCCAGAAAACAGGGCAATGATATCTTCAAAGTTGTGTAAAAGACAACCGTCAACCCACAATTGTGTACAATGAGTTACTTTCAGGAATGAAGGAAATAGGGGCACCTGGGTGGCCCGGTCCTTAAGCATCTGCCTTTGGCTCAGGTCAGGATCCCCACATCTGACTGACTCCTCACTGAGTGGGGAGTCTGCTTCTCCCTTTCCTTCTCCCCCTGCTTGTGTTCCCTTCCTTGCTGTGTCTCTCTGACAGATAAGTAAATAAAATCTTTAAACAAACAAAAAAAGAAGGAATGAAGAAAACAAAAGCCTATTCAGAGAAATGACAACAGATTTTATCACCAACAGACCTTTAATACAGAAACATCTAAAGAACCTTCTTGTGGAAGGAGGACATTTTTCCATAAAGAAAATCTGATATACACAAAGGGAACAGTAAACGTATGGTTTAGTGTTCAAAACAATGCTGGTACATTTCAGGAGGGGTGGGCCAGGCACAAAGTATTACAGAGTCCCCTTCTGTCTGGAAGGCGGGTAAACACTGCATTAACTTTAGACTTTGCCGATTTAATGTCTTGGAGAACCACTGAAAGAATAGAAATAGAATGGGTCATTTCCAAGACAGTGTTGGGTGTGGGGTGGACATGGGGGTTGGCAAGGGAGAGAGACTTGATCAACTTTTTTGTTGTTGTTATTTGATCACTTCTTAAAAAGCCAAGAAAAGAGAAAAAAGAAACATGAATTTGGACCATTGGCAAACACAAAAATAAGATGGGTTTTATATATCCACGTCATGATCATACCTTTGTCAATGATTTTCTAGAATCTTCCAGCCCTATTGTGTTTATAAAAGACACATGTAAAATAGACACAGGAAGGCTGAGAGTACAAGAGTGAAAAAAGTTAAACCATGCAGGGGCACCTGGCTGACTTGGTCAGTGGAGCTCCTGATTCTCGATTTCTGCAGCCTGAGTTCGAGCCCCACACTGAGGGTGGAGTTTTCTTAAAAATAATCTTAAGGGACGCCTGGGTGGCCCAGTTGGTTGGGTCGCTGCCTTCGGCTCAGGTCGTGATCCCAGCGTCCTGGAATCCAGTCCCTCATCGGGCTCTTTGCTCGGCGGGGAGCCTGCTTCCTCCTCTCTCTCTGCCTGCCTCTCTGACTACTTGTGTTCTCCACCACCACCACCCCCCCGACAAATAAATTAATTAATTAAAATAAAATCTTAAAAATTAAAAAAAATAAATCTTTAAAAAAAAAAAAAAACGCCAAACCGGCTAAGGGAGCTGGTGTAACTAAATTGTTATCTGACCAACTTGCCTTTAAGGCATCAACTCTTTGAGCACCAAGATCTAAATAACAAAAGGTTCAATCCACCAGATTTAGGAGGTGATGTTAGCTATGCAGATTCAGGGAGGAAGTAATAATTACCCCCTCCTTCAAGAATTGCTTTTGACTTTTAAAAAAAGTTCTTTGGCATTGATTTGTTAAAGGTTCACAACAACCAGTGAGATAGCAGAGGAAGTGTTACAGCCTCCCCTTTGCAGATGAAAAGCCCGAGGGTCAGAGAGGTTAGGGTCTTGCTAAGGCACACAGCAGCAGAAAGGCTGGCGATCACAGGTCTTCTGACCCCAGGTCAATTGCTCCTTCCTCTCCCGGTTTGCAAAGGGAAAAGCGTACAGTCTGGACAGAGGGTGGAAAGGCTTGGCAGGGATCCATGGGGAACAGCGTGGGCAAAGGCTTGGCAGGTGCGAACAGCCTAGAGGGCACTGTGACTGGGCCCAGCACGCCCCACGGGAGGGGGTTTCAGGGGGAGCCGACAGCCAGCCGCGTCGCCTATCCTGCACGTGCAAGAAGCTTGCACAAGGCCACGTGCCTCGCAACTGGAGGCGCGCCAGGACCGGGGCCCTCGCGGAGGACGCGCGCTCGGGTGGATGCCCCGCCCGCGCCCTGCAGCCCACGCGGCGGCCCCCGGTGGCCGCCCTCCCGACTCCTGGAGCCACCGCGTGCCCCTCCAGGCTCCGCGAGCGCTGGGTGGCGCGTTCTCTGCCGTCCCCCCAACCCCACCCGCCTGGGTCGTTAGTTAGCCCTCGCCGGAGGAACCCTCCAAGTTCAAGCCCGACGGGGAGGAGGAGGACAGACGCCGGAGGACGGGCCCAGGAGGCCAGGAAAAGTGACCTCCGGTTCTTTGGGTAGAAGAAGAAGGGAGGCTCTGATGTCCTCCATTGGGCAGGGATGGGGGGGCGTGTCCAGGGGGCGGACAGAGATGGGAGAGGTGAGGAGCACATGGATGGACAGACGCTCCCGGGCACCGGGTGGGGACTCCAACCTGAGGGTTGAGCTGTCTCTAGACTTTTTTGGAAAGCGTTGGCGGGGGTTGGGGGGAGGGGACGGTGTCCTGGTTCTGAGCATGCGCTGTGGCGTTAGTCCCCCTTCCACCCCTGGCCCCTCTGCAGCCTCTGACCCGCTGCGGCCGTGGGCTAGACCCATAGCCCCTTTAAGCTCCAGCTTCCCCATCTCTAGAACAAGCAACCTAATGCCTAGGGCTACGGTGTCGATTTGACAGGGTGTGCGCTAAAGGCTGCATGCCCTTTGCCATGGGCCCCGCGCTCATTTTGCATAGTGTAGAAGCCCCTTTATGGGCCAGGTATGAGTCCAGCTGCAGCAAATACTGAAGGGGAAGAAAAGATAGTGGCTCACAGCTCCCTGGAGGGAGGGGAGCAAACTCTACTTTCTTTTCTCTGTTAGGTGGTGGCAAGTCATGGAGAAAAGTCATGCAGGGTAAAGAAAGGACAGAGTGGGGATGCTGTGATCTGATGTGGGGTTCGGGATCTAACAGTCAAGAAAGAATTCTTGAGAAGTTTTCAGTGTAGAAAAGGTTTTCTTAAAGCAGGGGGACAGGACTCATGGGCAGAAAATGCTGCACCAGGATTGTGAGGAGTCACTGGTTCTAGACTTTTAAGTCTGGGGAGGAAGGGGTGGGGGTAGAGATCATGTGAGTTCCTCAGGAATTTTTGTGTGCTGAGAGCAGGGTCTACAGGACCTTGGAGGTCTGGCTGTTGTCAAGATAAGGCTGGTTTTTGTATCTAGTAAAACATCAACGTGAGGGCAACCATGAGTTCCTTGAGGAAGGTCACGCTCTGCCTGTCTCTGGAATTCAGCAATGGCTGTGGGCTGTAAGGAGATGTAACTTAAGCTACATTTCTCTGGCTTTTGTTGACCTCATCAGGGACCCACTACAGTCAGGGGAGAATGGTCAGGGAAGGGCTCACTGCCATGGTTAAGGCTGGCCTTGAAGGGGAGAGGGAGAAAGTTCCAGGCAGAGGGAACAGCAGGTGCAAAGGCCCTGAGGCAGGGACACACACACAGCATTTTTGAAGAACAGCAAGGAGGCTAGTGTGTTTGGAGCAGAGAGAGCAAGAGGGACAAGGGGTGAGGTCAGTAAGTTAATGAGGGAGGGGCCGATAATGCGAGACAGGGGGTCAGCAAACGTTCTTAAAGGCCAGAGAATAAATGGTTTAGGCTTTTTTTTTTAAGATTTTATTTAATTATTTGATAGACAAAGATCACAAGTAGACAGAGAGGCAGGCATGTGGGGGGGAAGCAGGCTCCCCGCTGAGCAGAGAGCCTGATGCGGGGCTTGACCCCAGGACCCTGAGATCATGACCTGAGTGGAAGGCAGAGGCTTTAACCCACTGAGCCACCCAGGCGCCCCACTGGTTTCGGCTTTGATGACCATAAGGTCTCTGTTGCAACTACTCTGCCATCATATCAAGAAAGCAGATGAGCCATAAATCACTAGAGGTAGCTGGGTTCTGAGAGAACTTGACTTACATAAGAGACAGGCTCCCTGGTATTGGACCTTGAGGGCACAAGCTCAGAAGAGGAGGAACCAAAAGAGGTGAGTGGGAAGGAGGCGGCAGGCAGGAGGGAGGGAAGGAAACTCAATCAAAATCCAAACTCTGCACACTGAATAAAACCAAGCAGAAAGACTTGAGTCATGGCAAGGTTCTCTCCCTGGGAGCCAGGAAACTCAAGGCTACAGAAGCATTGAGTTCCGACTGCGCACAGAGTAAGGGGGTTTTATGGGATAAATGCAGAAGTTATTTGGTTTTTAGAACTGATTGATCTGGAGCTAATGGTCTTTCTTACTTGGATTCAAGGGACTCCAAGGGAATAAGGAAGTCCAGAGAGAGCACGAACAGACTTTGGTGGTCAGGAATTGGCTGGTGTCCTTGGCTGATATGTGAGAAGGACTGTAATTCCTGGAAGGTTAGGTTAAGTGTCCTTTATGCACCTGCGTTGGCCATCTCCATTCATCTCCATTTTAGTTTGGTTCCACACCTGAGAAGAGGGCATCCTGGAGTCAGGGAGGCCAGGGGTCCCACGGGGACGAGTGAATGAGCCCCATACTCTGCGGCTTCTGCCTCCAGAAGGCCCAGGGCTGCGGGCTGGCCAGGGGCGTGGCATCTCGGGGATCAGCTGGAAGAAAGCAGCTTTGGGCAGGTGGGGGTTGGGGAAGCCGATGGCAGGGAGGGCAGAAGAGGTGGAGATGGGAGAGGAATTGGGATTTGGGTGTGGTGAGAGTGGGAGAGGTGACCTGGAACCTGGAGGCTCAAGAAGGATGATGGGGGATGGTTTTCCGTTGTTTCGCGTTTTTTTAAAGTTAGAAGAAGTACTCAGAGCAATGATTAAGTCCTTAAGTGCTTGTAGGAATGATTCAGTATAAAAGGGGGAAGCTTTGGTGGGGGTTGGTTTTGGAGCAAGGACACCGAAGCCAGTGTCCCACTGCCCAAGCTCGCCCCCCCAGTTCAGGCCTGAGTCTGCTGTGGGACTCTGGGGGTCATGGGTGCTTTTCCTGATTCACAGAAGGGCACCTGGGAGGCCAGTGGTGGCCCTGGGCGCTGTCCTTGAGGAGGCAAGACGGGATGGCCCTTGGAGGGCAGGGGAGGGTCAGGCTGGGAATGGGACCACACAGGATGGGGGAAGAACTAGGAGGCTATGGCCCGGAAGCTGGCTGGCAAAGGAACACAAAGAATTTCTCTTCCGATCACCCTATTTTCTGACTGCAGCAGAAAGCAAGGGCTGCTGGAAGGGGTGGGGGCGAAGAAGTGGTGGCAGGGATTTGAGGACAGAGGAGAAAGTGTGACTTGGCATCTGGGCAGGAGGAGGGGGGGACTAGGGTGTGAGTCTCCCACAACCTTGCCCTGACTTGGGATGGAAGGTGGTCATTTGGAGTGAGGTGGTCCATGCAGCAGTAGGTGAAAAGTACTGATGAGTGTTGAGCAGAGAGAGGAGGGGTGTGGGGCCAGGGGGAGGGTATACCAAGGGTGCTTATACGCCGCGTGGTTAAACCTTGGAAGGAGGGGTGAGACAGCAAAGCAGCAAGGGATTGTCAGAGGTCGGCAGGGCCAGAGGATAGGGTCTGATGGGGAAAAGACCACTGTATCGGGTGCTAGAGTGTGGGGGTGGGCTCTGGAGCCGAAATTATGGAGTGGGTGCAATTATTTAGGGTGACCGAGTCTGGGGGCCCCATGGGAGCAGGTGGTTGAGATGGGACAAAGGGCAAGATGGTGGGAAAGGAGAGATCGAGGACTCTGCACACCAGGAGTAGGAGGTGTCGGCCGTGTGGATGGTGAGATTGCCAAGAACCGTGGTGTGTGTTGGAGACTGCAACAGTGAGCCAGAGCTGAAACTTTCAAGGAACGAGGGGACAGGGCCTGGACTGGTTTCAGCACCTGCCTGGAGCTTCGGACTAGAGTGTTCTGGAGAGAGGAGAAGGTGGGAAGCGGCAGCAGGAAGCAAAGAGGGCCCCCTCTCCCGGCCCAGTGGTCTGAGAGAGCCCACACCTGAGAGGGCTGCCTGGGAAGCAGGGGCCACAGAGAGAGAGGTCTGTGGTCAGCGTTAGAAGGAGCAGGTGCTGGAGGACAGGAGACATTTTCAAAGGAAAGAGGGTGGTTTGGTCTGACCAGGACAGCTGGGGTTGGGCCCCAGGGCAACCAGGGGTACTGGTGAAGGGTGAGGTGTGGACCAGGGCTGGGCTGTGGCCTGGCGAGGACCGGGCATCCTGTCCTTGCCCTTCAGAACCCATCTCATCAAACAGGTCAGACCGCTGGCTGTGGTGTGGACCAAGGACGCTGTCGCCTTGGCTTTGCCGTGGAGCCTATGGAGCTGAGACCTGATGCTAGCCACAAAGAGAATGTGCCCCCCAGGCCTGCGGTGCCCCTGAGGCCAGGCAAGATGCTTAATGGGTCTGGGCTGGGTGTGGCAGGAGCAGCTATTGGCCCACAGCTCCCTTCCCATCAGGCCAGCCTGGGGCCTCCCTAATTCCAGCTGGACCGGGACAGCAGGGCCAGGACAAAGTCTTCCCAGCCTGGGGCTGAGCGGACCAGGAGTGGGCTTGGCTGGGACCCCTGGCTGGGAAGGGATCCACCTCCCAACTCCCAGGGCAGTCTGTGCTGGGGTAGTGGCTCAGGCTCTTGGGGCTTCAAGAAGGCGACAGAGCTGGTCCAGCCAAGGACAGAAGCTGACCCCGAGCAAATTCAGATTCTGATTCACATGCCACTTTCTCCAAGTTCTAGCTGTGTGACCCTGGGGCGAGTGGTATGACTCAGGTCTAAAGACCCTGAGCTTTAGTTCCTGTCCTCAAATGTGCAAGTCTTCTGGCCCACTCCGGATGCTGGGTCCTCCCAGGCAGCCCCCAGGAAGCCTAGTCTCCCACTGTGCAATGGCCTTGGGGACCGGGGAGACTATGCCCCACCCCGAGTCCCCCAGAGCCGCTCCCTCGCAGCTGTTGGATGTGTTGTTGGGTCTTGTTCTAACCCGCGGGGCTGTCCCCCATCACCTCTTCCCAAGCCAGAAATCAGTCATCCTCTACTCTTCTCTTCCCTTCACGTGCTCCCTCCCACCCCCGTTCGGAGCCTCCACAGCAGATCAGAATCTGTCTCCAAATTCCCTCCTCCATCCCTGCCACCCCTGATCCCAGCCCTGTCATCTCTCACCTGGGATGCCCTCAACAGCCTCATTCCTGTCCCCCCGCTTCCCTCTCCCTTCCTCCCTGCCTGGACCCCAGCCCTGCTCCCTGCAGCCAGGCACCGAGTCAGACCACCCCTTGGTCCACTGGGGGAGTCCTGAGCCCCCCACCTGGGGCCCTGTCTCTGACCAGCACCCCCAACCCACCCGAGCCCTGACCACCAGCTCCTCCCCAGGGCACAACTGTCTCTCTTCTCTTTAGAGCAGCGGAGATTCCTGAAGAGCCCAAGTGTCGGCCTGGGCAGCGGCCATGGCCGGTGGGTGCGCGCGAGCCAGGCCCAGAGGGGAGGGCCTGTCATCACCCCCTCCCCAGGCGCCGTGCTGTGCCAGGAGCCTTGCCGAGTCCAGACCAACCTGGCTGGACAACCGAGCCCCGACCTGAGCCCCGTCCTGAAGGGCACAGCTGGCCAGCTGATGAACGCAAGCTTGCAACAGCAGAGTAACCTGCAGCCCCCCGCCGGCACGCCCCAGGGGAGGGCCAGAGAGTTCGCCATCCAGCAGAGTAACCTGAGCATGAGGGGGACCAGCTCGGCTCAGGGCAGAAGTCCCATCAGCCACCGCCTCTGGCCCCACCTGACACCTCAGGGAAGGCCTCGCCCTCAAGGATCACTGGCTTGCCCATGGTCCAGCCTGAGACAGTCCCAGCTGCTGGCCACAGACATCCCCGGCCCAGATGTCCAGCCTGATGCAGGCTTTGGTCCTTTCAGTGGGCACACACGGCCAGGCTCCAGACCCTGGTGTGGCCTGGGGAGCTGGCCCTCTGGGCTCAGAGGGAAACCCCTCACCCTGGAAGACCTGACCGTCCCTGTCCAGAGCCAGGCTCGGACCCCATCCCAAACGGCCATCCGCCAGCTGCTGGCCTCCGTGCGATACCTGGAGCGTGCAGTCAACCGTCTCAGGTGCCAGGTGTGCCAGGAACCCAGCAATGGCCAGGTACTCCCTGCCCACCCCCCGTCCAGCCAACCTGTGCCTGCTTCCTGGGATGGGAGGGAGGAACACCTACCTACCAGGTCTCAGGGAAACTGTGCATTTCCCAGAGACACAGAGGACCCAGGCTGCCCTCTCAGACTCTCAGGCAAGCAGGAAGCCTGTGTCCCTAGAGACCACGCTGGGGATCCTGACTGGGGATTTCCTTGACCCTAAACAGGGCGACCTTCAGGCCAAGCCCCTGAGGCAAGGAGAGAACTTCTCCCTGGGTCCGACATACAGCAGCGGGCAGAGGGGAGTGCCCCGGCTCCCTCGAGGTACGGGCAGCAAGGAGGCCGGACTCTGCTCTTCGGCTGGCTCTGGGGCTGCCTGGGGTGTTTCACCCAGGCGGGAAAGAGGAGAGTTGACTCCACAGGAGCAGGTCCGCAAGGAGGAAGAGAGCGTGGCTTCCTGCCCACAGGACACAGCCCCAGCAAGGATCATCGTGCAGGTGGAGGCCAGAGGAGGCTGGGCATGGGAACTGGGGGACCCCCGGAGGGCTTCTCCCGGAAACTCTCATGGCCAGCTCTCTGCCACTACCCTGTTGGGCAGGCAGGCTTGGCAGAGCGTGTCCTGTCCTGCTCGCTCCTCAGCCTGAGAACTGTCATGTCTTTTGGCTTTCCAAGAAAAAAGCCCGAAACATGCTGAGCCTGGAATCCGAGACAGCCCGGTGAGGCCATGGGATGGGGGTGGGGGCTGGCCACCCTCCTGGGAGACCTACTCCCCCATTTGCCTGGGCCAGGGGAGACGAGCCTCTGATGGAGGTCAGGCCCTGGCGGCAGGTCCTCGCGGGACTTCCAGGGAGGGGACTCCCTTCCCACCGCCCCTGCTGGGGAACGCAAGGGCCCTCCCTGGCCCCAGGGACAGGGACATGGGGACTGCTGTTGCTGCTGCTGGGAGTCTGTAACCACTAAGGCTGCCTGGCACTCTTGGCCATCCAGGAGGCACTCTGCGGCTCTGGGAGCTTTCCTGGCCGGGACTTCCTGGGCTGGCCACCAACAGAGGGTGTTGTTCCAGCCCGCAGCTGGTCTTCCTGCCGCAGCATGGGACATCAGGGCTGGGCAGGTGCCCCGGCCCACCCCCCTGATCAGCCCCGGTCCGGCCCTAGCCGGCAGTGGCTCTCCAGATGTTTCAGAACGTGGTGGCACCTGGTGCAGAAACGCCGGGCAGAGGCTGCAGCGGTGGCCCTGGGCCACCAGCAGCTGCTGCGCAGAGGCCTGTGGACGCTTCGCCAGGCTCCGCGGCTCCTGGAGGCCCAGCTGGAGGTGGCGTGGCGGCGACACACACAGGCCCTGCTGGCCCAGAGCTTCCAGAAGGTCAGGGGCCTCCGGGTTGGGCCATGGGGCGGTGATGAAAGGCTCATATGTCGGGGGAGGGCGTTCCCCTGGGCACCTGTTCTGCATCTCCTGAGTGATCTTCGGGAGAGCAGGTGGAGGGCCACACAGACACCTGCACCAGCTCTGCTTGAGATCACATCCTGCCTCCACTACTTTCTTGGTTCCACAGTTTCTTGCTGTGTGACTTTGGTCAGGTTGCTTAACCTCTCTGTGCCTTAGTTTCTTTCGCTTCAAAAGGGGATGATAATAATAGTACCTACCTCTCAGGGATGTTGTGAGGTTAAATTAATACAGAGAAAGGACTTAGAACCCTACTTAGCACATAGCAAGTGCTCCGCCTTATGGGTGGTTGCTGTCTTTTACTACTGGTTAGCTAGCCAGGACTGGCAAGACACGTCTGTGTTCTTCCCTCCTTGGGAAAGGGGGTGCTCTGGGAGGGCCCAGCTCCCGATGTTGCCTCTCAAGGAAAGCACTGCGTCTTGGGCTCTTTCTCTGCATTCATTCATTTATTCCCAAAGGGGCCGGGCAGTTTACAGGTTAAGACCGAAGGCTCTGTGGTTGGACATTTCTGTCCCCACACCCCATCCAGGTGCCTCCTCTTGGGGTTTGAGGCTGCCGCTGACATCCTTCTTTCCCTCTCTCTTCCCCAGTGGAGAAACCGGACTCTACAGCAGAAGCAGGGGCAGCCCCACATCCAGACTGGGCCAGGACCCCCACCCTCTGGGGCAGGACAAGGCCAGGGCCCCCCAGGAAGGGAGCTAGTGGCAGACCCCATCAGGAGAAGCAGGTAGTCCTGGACAACCCTGTGGCGCATTGGTCAGTGTGGCCTGGGCAGTTTGGGTGGCCTCCCCTTCCCCGATTCCTGCCTCAGTGCCCAACCCCCTCCCGGTTCCCCCCACAAGAGAATGAGGATGAAGTGGACAAAGATTTGTACAATAGTACGTCCACAGCCGCATTATTCACACCTGCCTCTTATTGGCGTTATTTCTGATCGTAACAGTCACACGTGCTTGATTCGAAAAAACACCCCAGATAGTTATCCGAACCTTTCACCGCCCTTCCCCACGTATCCCCCTTCCCAGAAGCAGTTTCCTGGTATTTGCATGGGATTTTTAGTGACGAGGATAAATGGTTGTGCTATGTTAGATGGGGGGAAAGGCTAAAAAATGATGTGTAAGGTATTTTTCGTGCACATGAAACGATACAGAAGGAAAAACAGTGAAATGTCATACAATTACTGAGCACCACCTAACCGCGCACTTAGAGATGGTTAAGACGGTAAGTTTCATGTATTGTGTATTTTACCACCGCTCAAAGTGAGAATCAATAAATATTTCATCCAAAAAACATGCTGAAATAACAGATAGTGCTTAGTGAAATTCAAATTGGCCATTTCCTCTCCATTCCCTCGTCGTCCACTACAGCAAAGTAAGGGTTTTATTCCTCCTTGTAAAGGAAACAAACGTATTTAAAGTAATTATTCAAATGCCATTTGTTTGAATACATGTTTGCGGTAAGAATTCAAACAGGATTGAAGGGGCACCTGGGTGACTCAGTGGGTCAAGGCCTCTGCCTTTGGCTCAGGTCATGATCCCCGGGTCCTGGGATCGAGCCCTGCATCGGGCTCCCCGCTCATCGAGGAGCCTGCTTCTCCCTCTCCCTCTGCCTGCTGCTCCCCCGACTTGTGCTCGCTCTCTGTCAAATAAATTTTAAAAATCTTAAAAAAAAAAAAAAAAAAAAAGAATGAAACAAAGGCAGAAATCTCCCCCCAAGTTGCTTCCATAATCAGGGATGACATGGAGAGAACGGGGTCGGGGAGGGGCAGCTCATCGCACCTGTGCACATGCCGTGGTGGGTGGCGGCCAGGTGGCCAGGCTGGGACTGCGAGCTCTCCTTCAGCCCAACCCGGGTCATCGCTTCCTCTCTCTGGGCAACTTTACTTGCAGTCCAGGGAGTCTGAGGGAGGAGGCAGGAGCCTGGCCGAGACCAGCTGGAGGCGATGGGGTAGAGCAGATGTTGCAGGTCTTACAACAACTGGCTGGTGAGCTGTGGGCCCCCACAGGCCCCAGGAAAACAGGGGAGAGGGAGCAGGGCTGGCCCCGAGCACCCACACTGGGCAGGGCTGCGGCTCCCGCACGAATGAATGTTTACTGAGCATCTCCTGGGACAGCTTCCCAGACACGATCTCATTTGAGCGTCCAGGGACCTGGGCAAGGCTTTGTGCCCAGTGTACGGTTGGGGAAAGTGAGGCACAGAGAAGTTAAGTGACCAGCTCAAGGGCACACAGTATGAGAGGTGCACATCCTGTATTCGTGTCCCGATGCTAATTCAGGTCCTGCAGAAGCTTGAGTGTTCGAACCGGAGGGTCCCTCAGACATCACTCACTCACGGGGAAAACGGACGCCCAGAGACGGGGAACAACAGAGCCTCCTCCTGTCCTGATCCTCCCTACCCTCTCTCTTCTCGCTCTTCAGTCTTCTTCTTGTGGTTCCATCTGAAGGAATGGGCCTGGCAGGAGAGGGGGGTCCAGAGAGAGGCCTCCCAGGTCTCACTGAGGACTCAGAGGAGGGGTAGGCCGCCCCTAGCCCCGTGCTCTCCTGTGACACCCAGGGGAGCCTCTCTGGACCCTGAGCAGTGGAGAGCCTGGCTCTGCAGGTAGGGAGGAGCAGAAGAAGGTGGGAGTGGGGACCCCCTTCCTTGAGGCAGAGGGGTTTGGTCCTCAGCAGAGCTCGGTGCCCGCCGCCCCCCAGCCCCCCTCCAGGAAGCATGGCCATCACAGTGGGTGCGCCCTAAGTTAAAGTGTTGTGAGGGGAAGGAACACAGTCCCGTAAGAGGGTTTTTCCTGTGTTAATTTTTTACAATGCGACATTTACATCTTACACGAAAATAAAGAAAATAGATACTAACCCCCAGTGTGCCCATCACCCAGCTTCAAGAAAATCACCTCCTGGGGACGCCCAGGTGGGGCAGTGGGTTGAGTGTCTGGCTCTTGGTTTCAGCTCAGGTCACCATCTCAGGGTCCTGGAATCAGGCTCTGTGTTGGGCTCAGTGTGGAGTCCCCAGGAGCTTCTCTCTCTCCCCCTCCCTCTGCCCCTCCTGCTCATGCTCTCTTTCTCTTTAAAAAATAAACCAATAAAATATTTTAAAAAGAGAAGGAAAAAGAAAATCACCTCCTGAAAACCCTGTTTCATCCATACCCCAACTGCTCCCCTTACGTTATTTTAAAGCCCCCCCATCATACCGTTTCACCCATAAATACTTCTGTAGCGTCTCTAAAAGATAGGAAGTCTTTTCAATGACATAACGCCCGTGCCATGATCACGCTTAAAAGTGAACATTAATTGCTTAATGCCAAAAAACATCTGGTCAGACTTTACATTTCCCACTGTTTTACAGGTGCACATTCTGTTAGAGCTTGTTTGAACCGGGATCCAAATAAAGTCCTTATGTTAAAGTTGGTGGATAAGCCGTTAAGGTCTTTTTGACCTCTGATGTCCCTTCTAGTCTTTTGGGTTTTTGTTTTTCTTTGCAATTTATCTGTGGAGGAAACCAGGCTGCTAGTTGAGTAGAGTTTCCCTGGGTCTGATTCCTGCTGACTGCATTCCCCCGTGTAGATTTTTCTCTCTTTTTTAAAGATTTTATTTTTATTTATTTGAGAGAGAGAGGGAAGGAGGGAGAGCACAGAGGGAGAGGGAGGAGCAGGCTCCCAGCTGAGCAGAGAGCCCCACGTGTGGCCCTGGGATCACGACCAGAGCCCAAGGCAGATGTTTCACCCACTGAGCCACCTAGGTGCCCCCCGCCCCCACCAGTGCCGTTTCCTAAGAGAACTTTGAGCTTGACCACAGTTTCACGAAGATGTGAGGGTGAATGCTTGGCCCATTGAGGGAGAGTCGGCAGGAGAGCACTGGGCAAGGGAATGGCGCAGGCAAAGTCCCGTGATAGGGGAGTGTGGGAAACTCAAAGGACACCTTGGTAGCCCAAGGTGGGGAGCCTGGGGGACAGGGGAAGGTTGAAGGTAATGATGGAAAGGCATGCGGGGGCCAGATCACGCATGGCCTTGTAGGTGGTGTTGAGGAGCTGACATTCTGTCCTAAGCGCAAGGCAGGGGGGCAGGGGTGGGTGGCGCTGGAGGTTTTCAGCAGAGGAGTAAGATGACGGCATTTGAACTTGGGAAAAGATCATTCTGGCCACGGAGCCACCACTGCCTGGAGGGGCCCCGAGTGGATACGAGAGGCCAGACAGGAGGCTGCTGAGGCCATCCGGGCACCGAGGGGTAAGGGCGTGGTGGCCTGAACAGGTTCAGAGTGTGAAGGGGCTTGTCCCCGGCCTCAGCAGTGGCACAGGGCAGGTGGCTGTAGCTGCCGTCATTACTACTAGTACCAGCACCTTCTCTTGGCTCCCCAGGTGCTTTGGGGCCTGGCAGAAGTTCATGCTAAGAGCCGCCCTGTACCGGGACCGCCTGGCCCGCCGCCGGGCAGGGACCCTGAGGTTATGTCTGCAACAGTGGATGTGGATGAAACAGCTCCGGGCCTCAGATGGAGCAAAGGTGACCCAGCTGTCCCTCTGCCGCCAGAAGGCCAGTGAGCGAGTGAGGGGCAGGCCGAGGGGTTCCCTTTCCCTCCCACCCCAGCAAACATTGTCACCTAAGCTCCTTCTGTGGTGGGCCCCATGGGAACTGATGGCTTCTCGTGATGGGGGATGGTGGTACCCGGAGCATTCTGGGGAGTGCAGTCTGACGGCCCAAGAGGGTCCAGGAGGGGTCCCCAGAGCGGGCAGGCCTTGGCTGGGCCCCATCCTCACTCCAGGTCATAAGCTGCTCTAGGCAAGAGACTTTGTTCCATCTTCCGCTAGGAGGGGATGTGGTCGCTGCTCTCAGAAGTTCCTGATCTGGGAGATAATTCACAGCCCTTGTTTCCCTCCCCCAGAATCTGATAGGGGAAGATGGGATCTCCGAGGTGTCTTGCAGGGGAGGATTTGGAGGCAGTGGGTGGGGGCAGTGCCTGGGAGGGGAGTTCCTAAGGAGGGGTGAGGTGGGCTGAGGCTGCCACAGGTTCCACCAAGGGCTTTGGGTGGAAGGAGGTCACTGGGGATGCGGCTGATTCATCCTTTGATGGCTCCTTAGGGAACACGGCCCTCTGCAGCTCTGCGCCCGGAGGGGCCACAGCCCAGGGCCTGGGGGTTATGGCTCAGGCCCAGGGGCTGCCCCCGGAGCAACGGGGGGGCTCCCTGCAGGAAGCCTGCAAGAGATTGGCCCTGCACCGGGTGCTGCTGCTCTGGAGGACACGGCTGTCCCAGCACCAGAGGGCTGAGTAGGTGTCTGCAAGCCTGTGACCCAGGGTTGAGGGGGTATGTGAGTGGAGCTGAGCCCTGGGAAGTGCCCTCTGGGGGATGGGCCAGGTCCTGCTCTTCCCCAGGTCTTGCAGAGGGCACCCCCCGCCCCCGGGCCCAGCACGCTGCGGTACTGGTGCAGGGCTCGGGGAGGTGGCCCAGGGGCCTGGAGACAGTGACTGAGCAGAGAGCGAGCTGTGGGAGCCATGGGTTGGCCGGGGACACAAACGCTTGTCAACACAAGAGCTTGCAAACACAGGAGCTTGCTTGCTCTTCTCCAGGATGGGTGGGAGCCCCCTGGTGGCAGGAACCGTGCCTGCATTGCCGTGGTCTGGCAGGTGGGAGGCATGGTCCCGTGCCCCAGTCGGCCTCATTATAAAGCTAGAGAAACTGAGGCTCAGATGGCCAAGCAGCTTGCTTGAAATCACACTACGAGTTAGGAGCAACTCTCTTGGTCGCTGTTGCTTTTCTACAAGTGCTGGGACCCAGACTCCAGACTGGTGGCTGCGGGGGAGCGGGTGATGGGGGTCAGGAGGGGCCTGCTGCCCTGGTGGAATGTCAAGCAGAATGTAAGCCAGTGGTTGCAGGGATAAGTTGAAAGCCCCATAGTGGGATGCCTGGGTGGCTCAGTCAGTTAAGTGTTTGCCTTCGGCTCAGGGCATGATCCCGGTGTCCTGAGATCAAGCCCCAGGTCAGGCTTCCTGCTCACTGGGGAGCCTGCTTCTCCCTCTGCCCCTCCCCCCACTCATGCTCTCTCTCTCTCTCTCAAATAAAGAAAATCTTAAAAAAGACAAAGCCACATGCCAAGTATCCATCGTCCCACACCCACTTGGTCCACTTGGACCCTCTGTCTCTTTGAATGAAGCCCCTAGAATTCCCAGGGAAGTCAGTTCACCGTGATCCCTTAGAATGTAGCTCTCCCTCCTGTAGTCCATCCTCTAGCCTTTGGTCACCAGGGAACAGTCAGTATCTCCTTCCGACATAGCTGGGGCTGTCCTGTGCTCTAAAATAAGCTTTTGGATTCCCCCATCTTCTGCTATTTGGAGTTTGGGGAAATGGCCTTCCACCAGGCCTCAGTTTCCCTATCTACATAACTGAGCAGAGGCAGAAATACTGATGTGGCCATACGAGTGGTCCCCTGAGTCCGGGGTCCTTGGGTCTGGGGCCCAGCTCCGTGTCCCATCAGGAGTGTGGCAAGGATCTCGAGCTGACACAGGTGTAGAAAGCAGTGGCCTCAGCCTTAGATGCTCGTGAGAGTCACTCTGGAGCCCTGGAAAGGTCAGGAAGCCCAGGCCGCAGCTGGACTGCCAAGTCAGAATCTCCGGGGGGTGGGACCCCAATGGGCATGAGTACGTCTTGGAGCCCCCCACGTAGTCCCCTATGTGGCTGGCTTGCAAGGTGATGCTCTAGCCTGGAGTTTGGCATGGGTGGCCCCTTCCAGATCAGCTCTGGCAGAGACCCGGCTGGGGGCAGCCCCTGCTTGGCAGTCCCATCAGCCTGGGGGTGAGGCTGGGGCCCCGGGGATTCACTTGCCCCTTCCTGTAGCTCCTTCCTCCAGGGCATGAGGCGGCAGGTGATTCGGCATATCCTGAGGGGGTGGCATTTGAAGGTGTGGGGTCCAAGCACCCCGTCAGACAGTGCCAGGACCACCTTGGCCCCGGAGCTCCTGGGCAGCATCCCGGGAGGGGAGCCACTGCTGGACGGCAGCCCACCCCGAAGCTCACTAGAGAAGGTGAGGGGCAGAGGGTGGGAATGGTCTGGGGTGGGTGGGGGGCAGGTGGGAGGAGACAGTGGAGACAGGGCAGGGCCCGAGGATCCAAGACTCCCTTCCTCCTTCCCCAGGCTTCCAGGACCCCCGCCCCCTTGGAGACCCTCCCACTGAGGCTTCTGTGGGCATCTGGGCAACAGCAGAGGGCACAGTGCCTTCTGCCCTGGCAGATGCGGGCTCAGCACTCCCGGGGTGCAGCGAGGTGGCACCGGTGTACTCTTCAGAGGCGGTAGGGATCCCTCCCCATGGTGGGTGAGCCACGCCGCCCACCGCTCTGTGGACATCCTGTTCCCAGTCCCCTTCCCATTACTCCTTGACCCTTGACTCCCATTCCTCCTACGTCCCTTTGGGGTCTGCCTCCCAGAGGGCTCCCACCCCACGCTCCAATCCGTTGGAACCGAGATTCAGGTCCTCTGGACTTCTCCTGCCCTCCCAGCCTGCCAGTCATTTCTCCCAGAGACTTCGTAGCTGTGGTTCATTCATTCATTTATCTGCAGCACAATGCTTGGGTCCGCCTGGGTTCTAATCCCAGCTTTGCCCCTCCCTAGCTCTGTGATCTTGGGCAAGTTGCTTAACCTCTCTGTGTCTCCATCTCTCCGTTTGTATGGGGATGATAACAGTAGTCACTCCAGTGGGCATCAACAAGGTAGGGGCACATAATCCCCTAGCCCAGTGCCTGGCACATAGTAAGCACTCAGTTCATAACAGTGTTGATCGCTAGTGGCGGAACTCAGGACTTGGGGTCCGTGATCCCATCTCATCCCTAACCTGTTGTTATAACACTGGGAGTAGCATTTGAGCAGTCCAGTCCCCAGCAAGCCACGCTCCCCCATGATGGAAACAGGGAGAAAACTCCCCCCCTCCAGGCTCCTGAGGGAGGGGATGGCTGGGAGAGCCCAGGGTGGCAATGACCATCCTCAGCGTGGACGCTCCCCTCCCCACCCTTCCTAGCGCTCTCCTCAGCTGGAGCCACTGGGCCACAGCCCAAGGGGCCCAGAGAGAGCTGGCGGTTGCCTGGGCCTGGGACCGGAGCTGCAGGGCCACGCTGGGCTTGTGGCGGCGACGGCTGGCGCAGAGGCGAGAGGTGGAGCAGTGGGTTCGGGCACGGGACCGCACACGGGTCCGAGGTGCCCTGCACCATTGGCACTCCTGCTGGCAGAGTGAGTCGGGGCCTAGTGCCGGGTCACTGAGGGGGAGGGAAGGGCCAGGTCCATCAGGGAGACCCAGGGTTTTGTGCCCTCCAGCAGAGTCCAGGGATGGGACTCTCATGGAGCACACTCAGGATGGCGGTGAGGGGAGGCAGAGCAGAACCAGGGGCTTGGACATTGCCCGTCCATTCCCCAGCTGTGTGGACCTTACACAAGCTGCACAACCTCTGCAAGCCTCAGCTTACTCATCTGTAAAATGGGGATCACAGCAGCACCCTCCCCAGAGGCTGATTCTGGGGAGTCTAGGACACCATCCCCCACTGTTGGCTCAGAGCTCAGTTCCTAGTAGGTGTTGCTGTCGTCATCACCGCCATCTTCTTCACCCTCATCCTCATTATGCTCACCTGGCCTTCAGGAGTCACGGGCCTGAGCACCGAGTCCTGGTGTCCTCAGAGCCCAGCATAGGAGGTGGGGAGCACTGGGGGCCATTTCCGAGGCTTCCCACTACACCAACACATCGTATCAGGGAGCTGGTGGGGGGGACCTGGTTGTTCTGGAAAGTTCCTGTCCTGTCCACTGAGGACAGCTGCTTCTCCAGCCCAATCGTTGTCCAATTATGCTGACCTCGTTTTCAAGGAAAAGCTGGAAATCTAGATTTTTACGTGAATTGTCCCGATCCCTAAACGTTTCCAAGAAATGAAAAACAGTGAGCTGGGTTGGCTTGTTCATCACAGGACACTTGTAACCCAAGCACTTAAACCCAGATGGTTAGGGCGCCTCCTCTGTCCCTGCTTGGGTCACGTGCAGAGGGCTGGCCCAGGAGGGGCCCACAGTTACCTGGGGCTGAGGGGCGGGGCTGGGATGAAGGCCCGGGGGCATCTCAGCCTCTCTCGGGTCACAGGGCAGCAGTCCCTGCGTGCCAGGTGCCAGACGTGGGTGCAGGTCCATCTCCAGGCCTTGAGGGGGTCCGTGTTCCAGGACTGGAGGCAGGCGGCAGCTCATTGGAGACACCCAGGGCCCTCCCCAGAGCCGCGTCTACTTCACAGGTGGGTGGGCCCGGGGGTAGGAGGATGAGAGAGGTATCCCCACTCTGGAAAAAACAGAGATAAAGCCCAGGGGACCTAACGAGGGAGCCATAGACCTGTGACCATTGATTCCTTTACCTGCTTTGTTCGAGAGGCGCCTACCTGATGTCCTGATGAGCCCCGGGTCTCCAACTCCCGGCCAGGTCAGTCCTTTGGTTTGAGGGGACACAGGAAAGGTGGGGGAAGTCCACGCCTCCAACATCCACCATTACGTGTGTCCCAACATCACACGTCCGTGTCTTGTTGAGCACAAGGAAGTTCTGCTCTATACAGTTGCCAAATGAGTGAACTCTTCGTGAAAATAGAGATGTTCCAGTAAAATGTATAGCGCTCGCTCATGCATAGTTAGAAGCAGCGGGAACGGGTGATGCTTTCTCCCACCGTTCAGCTACAAATGCGCAGATGCTCACGGTGTCCCCGCACGGGCGGCCGACCGTTGATGGCTCCGTGGCCTATACCGAACTTTCAGACCTGAACAGTGGACACTGTGCTCCCCTCACCAGCCTTCTGCCCCTGGGTGGGCTTGTGAGGGGCGACCAGGCCTCATTGCTCCCCCGGGACTTGGCCCCATACCTGCTGGGTTCCCATGCTGGGGACACCTGTCCTCCTGAGTCCGTCTGCACGTGTGGAGGCCCTGGACCAAAGCTGGCACTTGGACCCGTTACACAATCGTGCCCACGTGCTGAAGGCACAGAGTTGTGTGTGCAAAACCATGTATTACCTAGGACACTTAGTGGGGGGATTTGCGGATGCGATTTGGAATAAATGGGACTTTTTGACGCCAAAAGCCAGCTGCGCTCCTCCCTCTGCTCCTGTTTTTCAGCCGTTTCCAGGCCTGGCGTGGAATTGAAAGAGACACAGGGGTGGTCCTGGCCATGGGAGCCTCTCAGGATGGCCCGAGAAAGGCCGTGGGGGCCACATTTGCCACGTGACAGGATGCCCGAGCAACCAAGGCCTGGGCACAGGAATGGCATGTGGCCCGGGCCTCCATGGCCTACTGCAGAAGCCACGTGCCGGCGGGGGCCGGGGGGCGGACACACAGGCAGCTGAGCAGGGCCCGGGCCCAGCAGGCCTTCATAGCATGACGAGCGGCTCTGGGCCGGTGCTGTGAGGCCCGCCGGCGGGCAGAAGAGAGAGTGGCCCTGTGCCGGACCCAGTGGGTGCGTGAGTCCTGCCTATGCCAGGTCAGCCGAGCCTGTGGTGCCCAGAAGCTGAGTGGCAGGTGGGTGCCGGAGCCCTGCGGGCAGCCCCACACAGTGCTTCCAGCTGAGTCTGCTTCTGAGCCCTTGGGCTTGCTGTTGTGAGAGGTAGAGGGTATTTGGTTGCTGGCAATGGGGCTTGGGAGGTTGGGGTCAGAGGAAAAGTCGATCCCAGACACCGCAGCTTGTCCTGGGGTCCAAGTCCAGACCCGCACTTTCCAGCAGAGCAACCCCTCTCGGAGCAAGTCTTTGAAGGACAGAGGAGGATAACAGGCCCGCCTTAGGGAATGCGTGCGAGCACTGGGCTCAGGGCTCAGAAACACGGCAGGTGCTCATTAAACAGTGCTCCTGTGAGGGAGAGCAAGGCGAAGACAGCAAGACTGACCACTCTCTGTCCCTGGGGTGTGATGTTCTGCTGCTCTCTGGGCCTCTTTTAACCCAATTTCCCCAGAAGAGGGATGAGGGGAGGATCCAGCGGGGCACTGGCTGGGAAGGGTTTACCTTCTGCTTCACACACATGTGGGCTCCTCCCTCTGTCCCAGGATCCTAGAGGCCTGGACCCAGTCAGCAGCCAGGGCCCGTGACCAGCGAGCCGCCATCACCCAGTTCCAGCAGGCTGGGTCCAGACGCCTCCTGTGGACCCACTGGGCCCAGTGGCAGGCAGCGGGGCTCAGTATGCGGTTGGAACCACAGAGGAAGGCCCCGGAGGCCCATGCTGTTGACCTTGGGCAGTGGCCCAGGGTGGCCAGCAGAGGGCGCCTTCTAGCGCTGAGCCCCACTCCAGCCCTGTGGAAGCAGGTGAGCCGGCCTAGGTGGGGTGGGCCAGTGGCCTCAGAATCGGCTTGCTTCAGCCCATGGTGGCAAGCGTGGCTGGACGCTTATCCAGGGGACCCATTGGTAGGGACACTACCCCTACCACATTCTAGAACCGCCTCCTGGCTCTGGAAGCCTGCCATCTTTGGGTCCATCGGCAAACATTTACTGAGCACCTATTAAGTGCCAGCCCAGCACAGGTCCACCACAAAGACAAATGCTGTGGTCACAGTCTTAGGGAGAAAGACACCTGAACTCATGTATCCTGGTGTAGCCTAGGGTCGGGTACATGGGGATAGGAGCAACTGTTTGCCAAGTCCCTTTTATTCCTTATTGGAAAAAATAAACCTGCTCATTACAGGAAAATCAGGAGGTATAAAGGGAATGTTTCTTTCATAACTTCCTCCACTCAAAGACAACCACCAGTCCCTCTCCAGACCCGAAGCACTTAGTTCTGGGGCGCCTGGCTGGCTTAGTCGGTGGAGCATGGGAGTCTCGATCTCAGGGTTGTGAGTTCAAGCCCCAAGTTGGGTGTGCAGAGTACTTAAAAAGAAAAGAAAACCTTTAAAAGAAAAAGAAAAAAAGGAGGCATTTAGTTCTGACACCTGCAAATGGTGACAAGAGCCTAATGGCAAACAGGACTGAAGAGGCCGCAATGGAAGCCAGGCCCAAGAATGGACACCACATGGCAGTCTAGGGATGTCACTGGAGGATACACAGCCCCAGAGTTACCGGCAGGCCGCGCAGGTTCCTAAAGATGTACAGGAATCATCCAGAGTCCTGTTTCAGAATGCCAGGAAGCATGCAATAGATTCTAGAAAGGTTCTTAGAAAAAAGATTAAATTGTTTTTATAAAAGATCCTATTTAGAGAAAGAGAGTACATGCGTGTGAGTGCAAGCAGGGGGAGGGGCAGAGGGACCGAGAATATCAAGCAGATTCCACACTGAGCACGGAGCCTGAGGCAGGGCTCCATCTCACCACCCTGAGATCATAACCTGAACCAAAATCAAGAGTCAAGACACTGAACTGACTGAGCCACCCAGGTGCCCCTACATTGTTTTTTTAAACGGAATTGAAAGGGCCTTGCTTTGGTTATTTGCAGAACCCATATATTCACGCGCACAGGGGGCGATGGCAACAGCAGCTTCTGGGGACTCGGCATTTTATTTCTAGATCTGTGTCACAAGCCAATTTTACTTTTGGTCTGTTTAAAAATATTAACATTCCATTCTTTTTTTTTTTTTTTTTAAGATTTATTTGACAGAGATCACAAGTAGGCAGAGAGGCAGGCAGAGAGAGAGGGGGAAGCAGGCTCCCCGCTGAGCACTCGCAGCTCAATCCCAGGACCCCGGGATCATGACTGGAGCCGAAGGCAGAGGCTTTAACCCACTGAGCCACCCAGATGCCCTTAGCATTCCATTCTTATCAGCAAAGGCAGTCCGGATCCCCTGTGCTGATGGAGAAAAAGAGGCGTACCAAAACCAAAAGTAAATGCCGGGGAGAATAACAGGGTGCTTGGCTCCAGCCCCTCTCCCCGTTTCTACCACAGGAACACATGCACCCAGGCAGCCTTCCCCGAGTGGCACAAGCTGGTATTAGGCCTCCCCATGCAAGAGAGGCCCTCTGAGAGCCCCTGGTCTGTAGCAGAGCCGTAGCTGGGCTTGGGCTCCGGAGTCAGGCAGGTAATCTCGCTTTGTAAAACCCAAGTGGGGACGGACTGCACTGGCACAGGTGAGCCCTCACCAGGCGGTGTACATGATGGGTCCGCCCCTCCGCTTCCAACCCCGGGTGTGCTGCGAGGACAGAGGAGGCAGCAGGGTTGTGTGCTGATGGCCCCCCTAAGGGCAGGTGTCTTCCCTGCCTCCTCTGGGAGCCTCGGGACCACACAGGAGGAGGAGACCCTGCTTCTGGTCAGGGCAGGGCAGGAAGGACCCTGCCACGTTGCCTGGGATGCAGGGGGTCCAAGCCCATCGGGTTCAGGTTATCCTCTCTGGCTGTTCCCTCAGGCCCACGGCTACGGGACACTAACCGGCCAGCACCACAAGCACTGGGGACAGAGGAAGCCGAGAAAATTCTCCTGGGCTCAGAGTAAGGAGACCAGTCCCTGGGGCCAGACATCTCCCGGGCCTGGAAATCGGCTTCCAGCAACGAGGCTAATCCTTTTTAGGTACAGATTTTCTTTTCTTTCCAGACGGCAGAGAGCGCCCCCTCTGCCTCGCCTTCCGGCGCCGGTGGCAACCGCCTGGATGCGCCGGCCAGGCCCAAGGCCGGCCCCCTACGAAACCAGGAGGAGACCGCTACTCTGAGGCCCCACCCCTCCAAGGCCAAGGCGAGGCGGCTCAAAGCCAGCCAGGGTAAGGGAAGCTGCGCGTGCGCGGGGCCCCGGGGGCGGGGCGGGGCTCAGCCGGGGCGGGGCTCAGCCGGGGCGGGGCTCAGCCGGGGAGGGAGTTGGGCCCTCTCTCCTCCTTGCTCCCTCCTGGAGAATCTGCCCTTCTCCCTCGTCATTAAGGGGTCCTGATGCTCTTGGCTATCGGGGTGCATGCCAGGGCTTCTCCCCACCAGGAGGAAATACCTGCAGCGCTGGCACCGGGAGGCACTGCTTTCCCGGCTCCACGGCTCCCAGCGGGCCCGGAGCCTGGCAGCAGCATGGCGGCACTGGGTAGATGTTCAGGGTGCTGAGCAGCTGGCACGGACGCTGGTGAGTGGGTGGCACCCTCTCCCCAGCCTCAAGCTGATCTAGCAGCTCACCTCATCCTCAACCTTAACCCCTAGAAATGAAGTCTCTCAAAGCATATTGGCCTCTGTATGGACCAAAGTCTGAAAGCTTGGGGCCAGGTGCAAGGATCTGCAAACTCACCTTAGGGGACACCCGCATTGTCACAGCCCCTTCTCCGTGGTGCTGCGGAGCTGTAAGGGAAAGACGCAGCAGAGGGGCAGGGGGGCAGCAGGGTCTGGCTGGGCCCCTCTTAACCCCCCCTCCCACAGCTGAGGCAGTGGCACCTGACGCAGGCCTGGCGTGTGTGGCGGCGGCGGGCTCTGCAGCTGTGGGTGGCTCAGCAATTACAGCAGCAAGAAAGTGGCCGGGTCCTTTCCCAGGTATGGGGGTAGCTGCCACCCCTCAGCAGCTCTTTGGAGCTGGGGCCCCTCCATTTTCAGGGGAGGTGTCTGTTCCATTAGAGAAAACACAGCTTGGGTCCCCATTTAGCTGGTGATCATGCGCTCAGCCCGGTTCTACCCACTCGGTGTGGGCACGAGCCTTGACCACAGCATGTCTGCCACTCACACTAGCCCACGTTGGGTATGGGTCCCTGAGTGCCCCATCCCTTATCCACCCTGCTCTGAGCATAGCTTCCGAAATCACAAATCAGATCTGTTCTGAGCCTGGGCATTTGGCCTGGGGCTAGCGCTGGCTGGGCGGCTGGCTAGGGTGGAGGGAAGGGCGGGGGGAGTCGCCCATTCACTCCGGTGAGAGAAGGAACTGGGCACAGGTGTTAGCCTAGCACAGACAGCAGACCCAGGAGGGAGCCAAATAGCCTTTCCTTCCTCCTCCCTAATTCCAGGTCTTTGAGAAGTGGCGCCAGCACCTGGCAGCAAGGGGCCAGAAGAGGAGCCACCAGCAGTCTGATAGCCCTGAGCCCGGCGGGCATCAGGAAGCCTGGGAGTAGGCTGGAAGCTGCTCGAGCCCATGTGCATGGTGAACTGGAGGCGGAGCAGGGGACCAGCTGCAGCTGTGACTTGTTCCCTTGGAAAGAAAAACAACACTGAGCCCAGCCTCCCTATGGAAGGAACATCGCCCCACCCATCAGGGCAGTGCAGGCTCAAGCCACCAGACATCCCACTGCCTGGTGACCCGGGAGCCGGCTCTCTGAGCTCTGAAAAACAATAAAACACCGTCCTTAGTCCCAGCTGCTTCTCTTGCTCAGTGTCCCCTAAGAGCTGCCCCTCTGCCTCAGCCAGCCACCCTGGGATGGAAGTGAAGAGGGTACACCTGTGACCCTGGCTTCTTCTTCTGCCATCAAGCTGCTCTTTGGACACCTACCCTACCCTCCTGCTGAGTCAGTGAAGACCAGCCGGCAGGGACTGGGACCAGGACAGGGAACAGCTTCTACACATCTAGCAGTCACTGTCCCTGGGCAGTGGGGCTCAAGGGCTGACTCCTGGGGAGCAGTGCCAGGCAGACAGCTTCGGGAGCAGGATGAGCAGAGGGTCAGAAGCAGCTGGCAGTAAGAAGTCCCACCTAAAAAAAATAAGCCAGGAAGAAGTCAGTCCTGCTCTGTGGAGCCTTATCTTTGCCCTTGACAGTAAGACAGGGTATCCCCTCCACGGCCAGAGGGGATAAAGGGCAGGTCAAGGGCTCCACCAAGTATAAGGGTTGAGATGCCTTTAACCTGTATGAGGCACCTTCCCTCTTGAACCACCGGAATACAGAAATAGATCTTCTGAAAAGCAGCACAGGAGAAAAGTGAAAGCCCTAGCTGGCTCTCGGGCAGACAGGCAGCGGGGTGTGTGTGTGTGTGTGTGTGTGTGTGTGTGTGTGTGTGTGTGTACGCCAAGAAATGCTGGCGCTATCAGGCTTCAGGCCAAGGCCTGTCTAGAAGCCCAGCGGGCGGCCCTCCAAGCAGGTGGGCAGGGCAGGGTCTGCCCCTCCGGCCACAAGTGGACATGCCAGCAGCCATCACCTCTGCTGGGCCAGTGTCTTCCGCAGCACCGCAAATGCCTGCCACCCGGGGTTCACTTTGCTGCTCCACAGGTCCCAAGTGCAAGGTCACTGGCAGCCCCAGCCGGCTCCCAGCGGCTGCCGTGGTCCAAGGGCTAGGTCAGCAACAACTGCCCTCTCTTCTCAGGCAGGATGTTGTTCCGCCCACCACGGTCCTCAGCAGGACAGGGTGCACTCCTCAGGGTGCACACAGTCTAGGCTGAGCGAGGAACACCAGGCTCCCCCGTGGGGCTGACTCCGGTCCAGCCAGAGCCGGGAAGCCTCACGCCAGTCTAGCTGCCATCATCACGTGAGGAGTGGAGGCCAGGGCTGGGGGAGAAATGCCGGAGAAGAGGGGTCCCGAAGAGAACCAGGCCTGGGGAGGAGGAAGGCAGGACAGCAGGGGCCTCAGGCTAAGGCCACGAGGGTACAGGATCACAGAGCCTGTGTGTCTTGCTCTGGCTCAGGCCTGTTGAGAAGTTCGAATGTGTCTTCCACCACCTGCCATAGGCAGTTGTCCAGCGGAAACTCATTGTCCACCAGGTTGACCAGGAAGTAGTTGTCGTGGATGTACTGGATGATCATGCGGGACGGCGACTCCTCCTCGTACAGCTTGCCCCACTGCTCAATCCACAGGGCGAAGGCTTCATCCTGCAGCCACACGCATGCACACACACAGACACACACATGTGCACACATAGGCAGGCAAGGTGAACAGAGCTGCCCTTGGGTCAGGGCTCCATGTTCCTCGCTCCTCCCCGCAAGGGCCTGTAAGCAGCTCCACAGGACACTTCCAGGAATGGAACAAAGGTTCCCGGCAAAGTCACCTCCAGCCCAGAAACCAACACCCTGAGTCAGGGTCAGGACCCAGCCAGGAAGGCGGAGCCCACCTGCCCTGGCAACGTGGCCCCAATGACACCTCCCGCTTAAGGTTTGCTGGGTGTGCGGGGCACGCCCACTCCTGGCCCCCTTACCTTCCAGAACATGAAGCTGACAGGATCGACCACCGTAGGCTGGATGATCTCCCGCCCAGGGAAGATGCCCCAGGTGACCGCGTTGGGCTGCAGCTCAGGGGCATTGGTGATGTTTTCACCCTGAGGGCAGATGGGGGCGGGAAGGTGGTCAGAGCAGACCTGGGCGTAGACACTGCAGTCACCTTCTTGCCTGGGAACTCGCAGGGGTGGGTGGTGGTGGTGGAGGAGGCTTTGCTCCATCCCCTCCACCTGCCCCCTCCCAGCCCCGCCTGGGAAACGGGGGGCGGGGCACTTCCTTCCTCCTCCCTGTGCTCCTAGCTCCACCCCCCCCCCCCCCCCCCCGCAAGTCGCATCCCCCTCATCCGGACGTCCTGCTGGCTCCTGCTGGTCTGTGGATCTCTTGCTGTGTGTCTGCCCAGTCAGGCTGCCCCTTGCTACTTGGCTTGACACAAGGGCCTCTGTGATTCTAGTCTTCCCTGGTCCTATTATCCACACCCTGTCCACCGTGACCTATGACAAAATGGGGAACCAAGCCATTGCTGCCAGGAAAGGCTCCCTCTGGCCTTTAGGGGAAACCCCAATCCCCAGCAGCACAGTCATTTCTCTTAGCCTTACTCTGAACCCACCCAGCAGTGTCCCCGTAGGCCGGTAGACGATGCCCTCACAGCCCTCCACCCATTCCCCAGGATGCCTGCTCCTTGTCCTCAAAGATTCCAACCACAGGGGACCCCTCCAAGCCTTCCCTGACCTCCCAGATTAGATATCCCTTCCCTGGGTCCCCAGCATCCCATACTGAACCTTACTGTTAAAAGGGCAAACCGATTTGTAATTGCCCATGGACTGGGCCCCTCCCTATACTGGGGGCCCTCTGGGCTGAGAGCAGGGGCCTGGCTCTGGGCGTATGTTTCCACCAGGCCTGGCCAGCGCTAGGTGCTCAGTGCTCGCAGACGGATGGAGTAAACACGGTGCCCTCAGGCCCTGGACGTGGGGCCTGCTGAGCTCTGGCTAAAGCCCGGGGCCGGCCTACCTTGACGTCGACGATGTGGTAATTAACCCGGAGCTCGTACTTCTTCAGCACCTGCAGAAGCGCCCCTACCGTCTCGCGGGAAGTGAAAAACTCCAAGTAGGCCTATGGGCAGGTGGGGGGGGCGGGGAGACCAGCACATCAAACCCAGTCCTTGCACACCCCTGCCCCATGTGCACCGCAAATGGAAGCTGGCCCTCCCAACACCCCGGGGAGGCGCCCTCGCAGACACATGCGGCAGGACTTGAGGCCCTGGGGCTAGCGTGGCCACGTGGACCGAATCACAACTGAGAATGGGCGAATGCAAGCAGGGGGGAGGGGAGCAGGCATGTGGGCTTTCTCCATCTAGACAGGTCTGAGGGGCAGCTGCCTCCCTTCTCCCAGCCAGGAAAGGCCCCACAGAGAAGCCGCTTCAGAAGCCGGACGGGAGGCCCGTTTGGTAAGCTGAGACGCAGGAGGGTCCCCGACACATCCCGGCCGCCCCACTCACTGGAGGCTAACAGTGCCCCCAGGGCTTCTCCAGCACCGAGGGCCTGTCCGGGATGAGGCCGGGTCCGTGGCCTGCAGGGGGAGCATGGCTACCCCCATCCCACAGATGAAGAAACTTAGTCCGGAGAAGCTGAGCCATGGGGCCCCACTGAAGGGAGACAGCGGGGCAGGGACTGAAAACCCAGCTCTCTCAAACTCCAGAGCCCACGGGCTACAGTTCTAGAATGGCGTTTTAACTCCAGGAGCCCTAGGAGAAAGGTGTCAACTCGGGACACCAGTAGCAGTTCCATTCACGAATGCTTCCTATGTTCTTCCCACGTGCCAAGCACGTGCTTTGTTCATTTCGGCCCCAGAGCATGACGGGCTCTCTCTGCCTTTTACAGGAGAGACAGCTAAAGTGCATGGCAGTCAAGTGACCTGCACTCCCAGGTCTGACTAAACACGTGAGCTCCTGTCTGCACCGTCCTCTGCCCCCCAGAATAAAGAGACCCCAGGGAGGGAGGGGAGCTTCTCTGTCCCCATCTCCAGGGAACCCCCGGGGGCTGGCCAAGGTGGGCCAGCCCTGTGTGTCCCTGCCGCACCTTCTGGAAGACATAGCCCCCACTGGGGCCCCAGCCCACGACGGGGTCGGAGGATGGCTTCCCGTTGATGTTGGGCTGCGAGTTGATGGTGAGGATCCCCTGCCGGTTCACGCGCAGCAGCTCCTCCTTCATCAGGCTGGTCTCGGCCGCCAAGGGCTCATCATTCCAAGGGAGGCAAGTCACCTGGGGCAGAGGGTGAGCCGGGCTGGGACAGCGATGACGCCGGGCACCCTGGGCACCCTCCCTCTCGCAGGCTCCACCCGTGCGTCCATCAGGCTTTCTAGATGTCCCAGGTGGGGACTTCCCAGCTGACCCTCCCCTTTGCGGAGGTGCCCCATTCAGACAGAGATGGGAGGCTTGGGTGGGGATGGGCAGGGGGAGACAGGGCAGGGGGGTTAACCAGGAACCCCACCCCAGCATCACTCACCTTATAGCCATGTTGGTTGGGCTCTCCCGAGAGGTAGTGTGCAAAGACCTCAAAGACGCTTTCTTCACTGGTCAGCTCCTCCCCCCACATCTTCAGTAGCTCTTCCCTTGGGGACTTACTCTTCAGGTAGAAGAGGTAGTAGTCCTTCAGCTCCCCGAAAGCTGGCGAGGAGGAATTGCCCCTGGCAGAGAAGGTGCCCAGGGGGCAAGGCATACTCCTGACCTGGGGCTCCTGACAGAGGGACGGTTGTGCCCACTTGCCCAAGGGGCATTCCTATGAATCCCGTCCCACACCACTCCCCAAAAAGCACGCCAATAAGCAGGCAAAATCCCTCTGCCTCCCTCCTAAGAAACAGGATGCACTTGCAATGGGTTGCCTGCGGGTGCTCACCAGCGCCCGTTGGGGAACTCATCCCACTCTTGCGTGCGGTAGATGTAACTCTTTGGTCTGGAGGCCCAGAAGATGGGACGTACATCTTCCTCCCGCCGCTTTGGGTGGGCACTGACGGCCCAGGGCAGGGGACGCCTGGGTGAGAATGGAGACAGGAGGAGTAAGGGACTGGCTAGAGGAAGCAGGAAAGGCGGGGGTGGGGAGAGTGGGGACAGCAATCAGCCGGAGTTCTCTGATCTGACTATGCATGGAGTTCCCACTGAGACAGAACCCTAAGTGTATGGCTAGCCATGGCAGACACCCCTCCGTATCGCCATGGTAGCCAGCACTGCTAGGGCATGCTCATTCTGTGACCTCTCTCTGCCTTGTCTGCCCATCTGACTTTCCTCTGTGCCTCCCAGGCCCAAATTCGGGGCCAGTGGCATCACCTGGGATCCTCAATCCACATGCCCAGACGCTTCAGCACCTCTGTGGTGGCCATCTCGCGGTTGAGGGTATAAAAATGAAGCCCTGGCACCAAGCCGCTGGCCAGAAGCTCCTGGCACAGGCTCACGGCCTGCTCAATGCCATAGTTTCGGATGGCAGCGTCATTGTCTTTGATCGGCTCAATCACGTCCTTGATCTGCTGTGGTACCTCCAGCCTGGACAGTTTCACGAGCTGCCGAAGGGAATGGTAGCCCTGTACGAGACACAAAGGGCTGTGGGGTGCCATCTCCCAGCCCGTCTCTCCCCCGAAATACTTACCGCCCTTTCCATCCCACCAGGCCTCCCGGCCAACTGTAGTGTCACACAGAGTGACTCAGGAAAGCCAGTCCAGGTTGTAGGAGTACCCCCGCCTTGTCCAGCTTCTTCCACTCAGTGTAGCAGCTGCCTACAGCATTCCCGCCCTTGGGCTGAGCTAGCCCTTCTGCCCCTAGGTGTGTTTATTGATAACTTGGTGGGCATCAAGGCCAGTGGCTCCCAAGCTGCACTGATCATCAGCACCACCTGTAAAATTTAACAAGTAACATGCAAGTTCTCAGGCCCCACCTCAGACCTATTAAATCAGAACCTCCAGACAGGAGATCTGGAAATCTACCTTTCAAAACAAGTTTTTCAAATGATTCTGATGATAGTCAAGTTTGGGGAAACACTGATTTTTTACCAAGATTTATAATGAAAGATATAATCCCTTTTAGGGACACTGGTCAGCAGGTCCCTCCAACAGACATTGGTGCTGTTTTGGGGGCAGGGGGTGGCTCAAAGGGGACCAACATGGGGAGGCATGTTGCACCCGTCTGAAGGGAGAGCTCCTGAGCATCAGGCACTGGATTTCACGCCAGGGCTCTGGCCTGTGCTGGGAGGGGGATGGAGGGAGGCCACGGAACCTCCTGGGACCCTCACCTGAATAGGAAAGATGCCGGGGAGGATGGGGCAGGTAATGCCTATCTCGCTGCAAGCCTTAACAAAGTGGAAGAATGTGTCCGCCTCAAAGAAAAGCTGGGTGATGATGAAGTCGGCTCCTGCGGACACCTTCTCCTTCAAGTACTTCAGGTCGGCCTCAAAGCTCCCTGCGTCGGGGTGGCCTTTGGGGTAACCTGCCGACAGGGATGACAGTAGGGAGAGGTTGGCTCCCACATACATGCTCAAGGTGAGTGAGGAAGAGACCAGAAAGCTAGGAGCAGAGAGCCCTCTGCCTCAGAGGTTCTTGACCCCTGCAACACCATAGCAGATAGGCCAAGACGGTGAGCGGCTGTGCTTCTCACTCTCGCCGTGACCCTCGGTGAGAGGTGGCCTAGGGCGACCTGCCCAGAGTTGGGGGGAGGGATGGCACCCAACTCCCTGTACTGTCCTGCCTCAGGTCCGTGGCAAGCGCCGACCAAATCTGGTGGCATGCTGGGGCCACAGAAAAGAGAAAATGTCACTTTTAGCATGGGTCTGGCAGCATCTGGGGTCCTGGGCTGGAGTCTGGGCACTGGATTCAAAACCGTGCTTTTATTTTAACACGAAGATTACTCAGGGGTCCAAGAGCGTGGACATTAGAAACCACGCTGCCCAGGGAAGAAGTGAAGAAGGCAGGCATGTTCCCTCTGAAGGGGAGAATGGAGAGAACCCCGGAACTACTTCCGAAAGCCCAAAGGTCTGTCGCAGGGGAACAGGGATTCGCCTTCAAGTTCCTTATTAGTCCTAGTCTGTGTTGCTTCTGATGCCAGAGCCAAGATCGGTCCCAGAGAGCTGCCTGACCCTGGAAGGAGCAGCCCCACCAAAAAGTAACGAGCTTCTGGAGACCGCGTGCCAAGGATGCCAAGGGCGGGATTCCAGAACTGCCTGGGAGGCAGGACCCCGTTTCACCTGGGCTCCTTACCAGCTCTGTGAACCCTATGTCTGCTTCCTTTCCTGAGCAACTGAACTCACAAGCAGCCGTGTTCGGTATTTGCAAAGGACGACTGTAGGCCTGCAGGAAGCTACAGGGGAGCGCTGGCTTCCTGAGCTTAAGCCCTGGGCAGGACCCTGAGCCGGGCTGCTGGGGAGCCAAGCTGCTTTGCTGTGATAAGGCCCTTCTGTTCTGCAGAAACCCCAAGTCATCAAAAAATGGATATAAAAACCCGTTTCAGGAGGCGAAGGGGTGGGAGGACTGAGCACCACCATTTTTCACTTTCAATAAGGCTATTTTTCCAGAGCAATTTCGAAAACAAGGAGGTTTTAAAAGCTCAAACTACAGCTCTAAATCCTCAATTACCACCGAACACACGTAGCATTTGCTTAACATTTAGATTTTGCCCGTTTACTGTATTTCTGGTCACAGCCAGCTAGACGTCTCGACCCGGATCATCCTGCATGTCTGCTTTACCACAGGCAGAGCCCCAGGCCCACACTTGCAAGCTCACAGCTCAACCCGTCTCCGTGCACGACCACCCAGCGCCTACTGCACACGTGCGCGCTCCCCAATTTACTGGCCAAACGGCGGCCCGTGTGAGCAGGGAATGCTTGAGCAGGTGGAAATGCTCACTGCACTCCTAACTCCTCATCAGGGCCTCCCAGACTCACCTAAACGCCCCTTTGACTGTGAAGAGCAGATGTGCACACGGACTAAGTTCAAAGCCACCGGCGACAACTTCTTTGAGGCCATGTGGATTAGTTTCTTAAATTCACATCCCTTTTCTGTGCTACTCCAGAACGTAGCCATGTTGGTTTTCATGTAAAAATGGTATGATTTCCCCAAGAAAGTTTTGAGAAAAAAATGGTCATGTCGGGACAACATTCAAGGTAATCCCTGGCCTTCTTGCGTCCCAGCACACGCTGCCTCACCGTACCCAAGCCCTGGCTCGAGGAGCCGAGTCCCGATCCCAGCGAGTGGGGCTAGGAGGGAAGGCCCCCCCATCCATCTTGAGCAGGTGAGCCCTGCCTCTTGGCTGTAGCCCCTGGAACAGGAGCTGCGCCCGTCCAGTGCCCTCTCCTGAAAGTCTGGAGCTGACTCTGAGACCCGTCAGTCTGTCAGGACTATTAGCTGGAAGTGACTGTGTGTACTCGGGAGCTGGTGGCAGGTCATGCGTGTGCAAGAGCGTACACTCAGAGCTCCTGGAAGCGTGGAGCACATGCGCAGTGGGAGGCAGAGATGGGGGATTCTGCGGCTCCAGACAGAATGAGGGAGACCTTGGTTTCTCACTGCTTCCTGGTCCAGAGCCTCGTGAGGTCACATAGCATTTCCTGACAAGGGTTCCAAAATTCCCTGCTCCCCCTCCGCCCCTGTCTTAACATCCCTTTTTTGTTTAAAGAAGAATAGGGCTGGGAAGCAAGCTAAGAGCATAAAAAGACAAAGGGATTAAAAACTTAAGGGCCGGTGGCAGCCTGGCAGGTGGCAGATGACAGAATAAGAGCGAGGACAGTGTGTGACACGGCTCTTGAGCCTCCTTCCCCAGCACAGGTGCAGGCCCACGACAGCTTGGGTCACTGGGTCCTGAACTGAATGCCGGCGGGCCTTCTGTTCCTCTCTGGTTATGTCACGCCTTCCCTTCCCTGTCCTCCCATGCTGGGAAGGCCCAGCCACTCACCTGCCACACAGATGTCAAAGTAGTCCCCGAACTCGCTCCGGATGTGTCTCACCAGGTCCACGGCATAGCTGAAGCCTCCCTCCTCCTCTTCCCACTGGTCACCCACGGGGTCTGCAAGGGGAGCAGAGGCCACAGTCACTGGGTCTCACCCGTGCTCCAGATGGCCTTTATGATCCTTCTCCCTACCCCATCCCCAGGGCCGCAGGCTTCTCTGAGACCGAGCCTTGATTTTCCCAGCACAGCACCTGGCAAGTGGCGGCTGGGAAGATGCAGCCATCCCGGCAAGCACTCACCAAGAACTGACTCCTCGTGCAATGTGCTGGCAGCACCAAGCAGGGGACAGCTGCGGCTCTGCAGTTAGCCTGGAGTATGTGGGACCCCCCTCCCTCCCCAGATCTGGGTGTGCTCAGGCACCTCCCCCAACCCCCTGCTCCCCCTCCCACCGTCTTGGAGCTCTTGCCTCCCAGAGGAGTTCCTACTCCCAGGTGAGTCCTAGTGGGGAGCACCACCCCACCCAGGTCCCTCTTCCCACACTCGGGTGCATGATGACAACAGGTGCCAGAGGTATGAGGAACTGTCCCCCGCCCCCCCCCCCCCGGGGGATCAGTGCCAGAACCGCACTCTCTGATTGCTGGAGCTGTGTAGCCAGGGCAGTGGGCTATCAGGCAAGGCTGTAGTCCTGACTGAGCTCCGATGCCAAGACCAAGAGTCCAGAAGTGGGTCCATCTGCACAGCCCAACCATGCTCACTACCCACAAGGCCGGCTGACACCACGGGATGGGAGAGGATGCTGAGCTGCTCAGTGGGGGACCCAGAGAAAAGTAAAGGGCCATTCCAGGGATGGAAGAGGCCTTCCAGGAAGCAAGATCCCAGTGAGCAGAGGGCTGGCTCCACACCTCCCCGCAACGCCAAGACGTTCTTCAGGCCCAGCTGCTTGGCCTTGTGCAGGTAGCCCGTGATCTGTCCCTGGCTCTGACAGCAACAGGTCATGTGCAGGATGGTCTCCAGGCCACAGTAGTTCACGGCGGTGCTGGCAATCATCATGGAGGAGGTCTCCTTGTCTGAGCCGGGGTCCCCTGCTGGATGCCAGGTCACATCTATGAAGAGGGGACCACCTGCCCCCATCCGATCAAACCTGTAGGTAATTTCTTTCTGAAGAGGGGCTCCTGAGAGCACACGGCCCTTCACCACCTTCCCATGGGCTCTGGGAGGGAGGGAGACATCACAGGCAAGTCATAACCAGATGACCCACACTCATATCTGGGCGCTGCTACTTAGTAGCTGTGTGATCTTGGGAAAATTAATCTGACTGGGCCTCCGTTTCCTCATTTCAAAAATGTGCCAGAGAACAGTACTTCATAATAATAACACTATGACAATACTTCCATAGATGGCTCCACAGCCCTTGGAGTACCAACAGTGCTTGATACATACTGAACACTCAGTCAATGGGAACTCCTGTTACGACGATGATTTTTTTTTTTAACGATTTTATTTGAGAAAGAGAGAGAAAATGAAGGGGGGTAGAGGGGCAGAGGAAGAGGGAGAAGCAGACTCCCCACTGAGTGCGACCTGAGATCAGGGCCTGGGCTGTCAGATGCTTAATGGACTGAGCCCCCCAAGTGCCCCAATGATGATGATGATTGCAGAGATAACTGGTATCAACAATGCAACCCTTTTGTGAGAGGGCAGCCCTGCAGCCTTTTCAAAGTGCTTGCACTTGTATTATCTCGGGTGAGCTCAGACATTTGGTTGGTCAAATGTATGGGGAACTCTCTGAGTGGCAAGCAGAGGCTCACTCTAGGAAGAGGAAAAAAGAGGGTGAGCAGACACAAGTTTCTTTCATGCTACACTCCCCCAACCCCCGCCCGCCTCCTTGTGGTGGAGCAGCCAGCAGGCTTCTAGAACACGGCCACGGTTCCTGAATGAGACTCAAGAGCCACAGATGTGCACACGCGCCTGACTGACCAGCTATAACGTGGTATTTAAATACCCTGGGGCTGGGGCACCTGGGGCTGGGGCACCTGGGTTGCTCAGTGGGCTGGGTGTCTGCCTTCGGGTCAGGTCACTGATCCCAGGGTCCTGAGATTAAAGCCCCACATCGGGCTCCTTGCTCAATGGGGAACCTGCTTCTCCCTCTCTCTCTGCTCCTCCCCTTGCTTGTGCTCCCCGCATCAAATAAAATCTTATTTAAAAAAAAAAAAAAACCTCTCGTGTCTTTGAACTTCAAAACTTCCAGAGCGGACACATGAAAAATGCAAGTGGTACAATGCATAAACTTAAAAAAAAGGAACCACAAATCATAAGGCGCTAATGTAATTCGTTTGGCATTTCTAGATTGAGAAAGGTATTTAAGTCGAATTCCTAACTTACTGAAAATGTTCTCCAAGCCACTGCTTTATGACTTCCTAAACCGTATTCATGTGTCAGTCCCAAGTTCTGCCAAAGAACGCAGTCTGAGAAAATCAACATTTTTAACTCGTTGAAGAATGTGTCTAAAAATTCCAGATGCAGGGCACCTGGGTGATTCAGAGGGTAAAGCGTCTGCCTCTGGCTCAGGTCATGATCCTGGGGTCCTGGGATCGAACCCCAGATAAAGTCTGCTTCTCCCTCTCCCTGCCTCCCTGTCCCTTTCCCTGCCTCCCACTTCCTGCCTCCCTCTCCCTGCCTCCATATCCCTCTTCCTGCCTCCTGCTCACACGTGCACGCTCTCGCTCTCTCTCTCTCTCCCAAATAAAACTTAAAAAAAAAAAACCCAAGGGACTTCTGTGGACAGCTGAGAAGCTGCAGCTCCTGGGTCTACCCTGCTCTTTTCCACCCCTGCTGGCTGCCTTTTCCTGCCGGGTCAGAGTGTGACCCTCCCTGCAGCAGGGCTGTGGTTTTGCTTCCCCTGGGGGGGGCCCCTCATTCTGACCCCACCTCCCCAACTACATCAGCTCACCTTGAGATGAGATTGACAGCCCCCTCGGCCGTCCGAGGAGGGAAGAATTCTAGGGAGAACCACTTGTCCCCAGATTCAATCCTCCGCCTCATCTTCTCCCTGAGTCTGTCGTGGCGCTCGGGGTCCAGCCCAGGTGTGGAACATCTCGAACTCTCCTTAGAGCTCTCACTTCCACTGCTGCTGCCCTCCGAGCGGGGAGGGGGGCCGCCATCCCCTCTGGGTTCGTTCACCATGGCCAGGTTCCGGCTGCAAGGAGTGGGGGCAGGAGTGTCAGAGAGCAGGCAGCCAAGTCCTGGAGCGGCAGGGTCAAGTGAGATGTGGCGTTTCCAGCGGGAAGAAGGCCAAGGAGGGTAAGGGTGACAATGCCCCCACCCAGCGGCTCCACATACTACAGCTGTGACTGTCTATGCTGCCTCCCTCGACGCTTTGCCCTCCACAGCCGCCTGGCTCCACATAAACCAGCCCCCACCCGGCACCGAAACATGCTCCTTCTGCCCAGGGACCCCCAGTGACAGCTACCTGATGGAGGGTGGCACTGAGAACCTCACCCTGCCAGCCTCCAAAGTCCACAGTCCTAGGGAGGGGCCGTGGGATCTGGAAGGGAGAACCTTGGGTGTTGGATGGTCCATCTCCGCCAGCTGGAACCCAGAGTGGGTGGGGAAGAAACAAAAGGAAACTTCCCCAGCGAGTGTGTTCCTCTGGGCGGAGGGAGCAATGACAGGGGAAGAGCCCAGAGCCAGACTAGCTGGGGCCCTGCGCAAGGGGGCGGGGGCAAGGCTTTCAGGCGGGAGGGAGGGCTGAGGCTCCAGTTGCAGAAACCAGATGGAAGGAGGGGGATGTTGACTGGAGACTGCAGGGCTTGGTAGACAGGAGGCCAACAGAGTCACCGGATTACTCTCCAAAGAAGGCAGAGCTCAGTCTGGCCCTGTCGGGAACATCTCCTGTTACTTGGAACAGTTTGTCTGCATGCAGGATGGAAGGCGTGTGGGCATGACAAAGGAGCCAGATTTCTCCTGAGTTCGTGCTACTCCAAAAAGTGGCACGAACTGTCATGGGTTAGACCTCGACACCGGCTAGGTTTCCCAAGTAACCGGACCCAAGTTCAATTAAGGGCATGAATTTGTGTCCTACTCAGAACAAAAGCTGTTGCATCCATGCCTGTCTTCCAGGCTGTTCTCCTTACACACACCACGCAAGCTGGTTAATTACAGTGACTGCACAATCACCACATACGAAGCCCTAAGCCATGGCAACCACAGGCAGCCAGCAGAGGGCACGGCGTCACCGGCCAGTTTAGTGCAGAAAATGAAACAAATACTTAAAAACAAGACAGAACAGAATTCTTGAACAGCAATGTGCAGACACACACTTTTAGTAGTGAAAATCCTATGTGTGGTGACCTGGGGCATCAGAGGGACAACCAGGTCAAGTTCATTCCTTTCAGGGGATAGTCACTGCTCAGCCAGAGTTTGTTTGTTTGTTTGAAGACTTTATTTATTTGACAGATCACAAGTAGGCAGAGAGGCAGGCAGAGAGAGAGGGGGAGAAGCAGGCTCCCTGCCAAGCAGAGAGCCCGATGCGGGGCTCGATCCCAGAACCCTGAGATCATGACCTGAGCCAAAGGCAGTGGCTTAACCCGCTGAGCCACCCAGGCGCCCCTAAGCTGGGGTTTTTAACTCCTTGGGGGTCCTAGACTCCTGAGAAATGGATGAACTCTACTGCTCCTTTCCCCTGCAACACACACAGGGGCACATAACACCAGTTTGTACACCCACAGTCAAGACCAGAGTAAAAACACTTGTACCAACGACTTTTCTTCCTAGGGATGCCCATTTTTTATCCTGATCTGAAACTCCAGCTTCTCAGCAGGGACGGCCAACGGGAGTAAGGAAAGGGAGAAAATCAAGATCAGCCTAGCTGGCTTTTCTCCTCAATTCAAGACAGTGGCTCATTAATTGTCTGCTGGAACAAAACCAAGAGAGGGGGAGGAAACAGAACTACCTGCCCTTTCATTTATTTAATACAGACTTACAGACTTACTGCCTTCCTAGTAAGTGCCAGGCACGTGCCTTCTTCAGCCTCCTTCCTCACATCACTTCTTACCCATCTTAAAGCTGGACTCCCACAGGGCCATAGGGTTGTATTTGTGGATTCATAGTTTTGACTCCTCTCCAACCCTCCAGTCCCCTGAGACCAGGGCGCAGTATCCTGCCTGTGGCATCCCCCATGCCCAGCACAGTCATCACAGCCAGCACTCAGTGAGCGCCAATGGGTCAAGCGCTGTCACTCTGTTCTCAAAATAACCCTCTGCCATTTACTGACCACTTGTTTAATCTGTGCCGAGCACCGTGCAGTGCGCGAATACGGAAACTCACTCCGCCCAGAAGGGCCAGGGTGGACACCTGGGGGCAGCCCGACACAGTGCGCGCCGGACACTGCGGTACCAGCGGCCTACAGGTGCTCAGCTGGGAGGCAAGTTTAAAAGACCGGAGCCGGAAAGACGCCTCCGGCACCCTGCTAGAAGACCACGAATCGAGTCACCCGGTCACTGGGTCAAGGTGGGGGCGGGGACGCGGGCCCAGACCCGGTCCCAGGAGGCCGAGTCACCACCCCCGTCTCAGGGCCGCCTCCTCCCCGGGGTCCCCTCCGTCCACGCCGGGGACGGAAAGCGAATTTTCCGTTCACAGCTGGAAGTCCCTGGGGGTCTCAGCCATTGGCGGTTACACCAGCCCCCCAACTGAGGGGTCGCGCAGAGCGGCAGAAGCCCCCCGCCTAGAGGGGCGGGCCGGCCCCCTCACAACCCCGCCCCCGGGTGGGTGGGCCTCACTTCCCGGATATCCCTCCCTAGAGACCCCACGCCTCGCCTCCACTCACCCTCCCGTCGCGGGTGACTCAGAACGCGCGCGCCCGAAGCAGCTGCTTGACCAGTGTGTGGGAGTGTGCGGCTTGGGGGGGGGCGGGGCGCGGCGCAGGTGTCAGGTTGCCGAGGGAGGCGGGACCAGAGGGCGGAAACCATCCTTGCGAGCGACCGGAAGTCCGTCCCCAACATGGCCGCGCCCAAAGGAAAAGGGTCTTCCACCGTCATGTGACGCGGGCCCTCGCCCCACCCGTCTGCAGCCACTCCCTGTCTCGGTCCCAAGCTCGAGAGGACCACGTGACACTGTCGGGGGCCAGTCACGTGAGGCGCGGATTCTGGGTGGGAGGGGGTTGGCGGAGGGTTCCAGAGTGGCAGTAAAGGAGGGAGATGGCGGGGTGCAGGGGTTCCCTGTGCTGCTGCTGCAGGTGGTGCTGCTGCTGCGGTGAGCGTGAGACCCGCACCCCGGAGGAGCTGGTAAGGAACGCGCGGAGCCCAGCTGGGGAGGGGGCGGTTGCCAAGGGATGGCGAGAGGCGTTGCCGGGGGTGGGGCCGGGCCGAGCTGGGGCCTCAGGTGGCCGCGGGCGGGGCCCGGGCACCGCATCCTCGGCTCTCCAAGCATCTACCTCGCTTCCCGTGCCCAAGTCTCTGGTCTTCCTCATAACCTCTCCCTGGTATCTGCGGGAGAATCCAGGCCCGCTCCGGTTAATCCCATCCATGTTTTCTTTTATTTTCATGTGAAAGGAGTTTTGAATGAAGCGAGCGTTGTCAGAATGAGCCCCTTCACTGGACTCGGTGCTTATCCAGCGGCTGGCTTAGTTTCTCCAGCCCTTTCTGACTGTATCCCTCACCTTTTCTGGGTCATTGGTAATCCAGCTTCCCTCTGCAAAGCACCCTGGGAAAACTTGAGTTGCTGTGTCCCAGAGTTGACAGGTCCCTTCTGTTTTCAGATTCAGTACATTGTCCGATGGATCCTGAATTTTTTTCTCCTTTATCTGGCATGGGAGGTCTTTGATGGGTCCTGAAGACAAGAGTGGTTATTTAGAGAACGTATCAGTAGAAACGAAAAGCTCACCTGGAAGACTATAGCCGCAGACATCACCCCCATCCCAAAAGTGGTTGTGTTTTTGTTTTGTTTTGTTTTGTTTTTTGTTGTTGTTGTTTTTTTTTGAGATCTTGTTCCCATTTGATAATAGTTCCAGATGGTTTGGAAATAAGCAAATTTTAGTAAATAGTTATGTCTCTTTCTACTTTTAATCATTTGATATTTAACCATTTAACCATTCTGTGGATCTATTTTCTAGACCATCCTTGGAGAAACACAGGAGGAGGATGATGAGATCCTGCCAAGGAAAGACTATGAGGTGAGATTCTTAGTTGCTGCCTTGGGTAAGAAAAGCAGTGAGGGAGCTGGTCACTTCAGACAGAAGCATTAGGATTCTAAGGAGGGATGCTCTTTGACGGTCTCTCCCAGGGAGTGAATGGGTAAGAGGTAATTTCCCTCTCTGAAAGGGACTGTTTGACAAGCCCTTTCTCACCATGACCCCAAAACAGGGTCTGATGGGTCTCTATGCATTCATAGATCTGTGGTACCTTAACCTCGATAGAGCATGTTTGCCCTTAAACTATTTACTTTTACAACTAGAGACTGAGAGTAAAAGCAGCTGACGGTGCATGCTCATCATAACAGCTATGGGACAGGAGACCTTCCTTCTCTTTTTAGAGAACTTTCCAGATGACTGTTTTCCTGCCCAAACAGCTTCTCTCTGAAGTGCTCTCTTTTTTTAAAGACTTTATTTTATTTATTTGTCAGAGACAGAGAGAAAGCAGAAGCATGAGAACTGCAGGCAGAACAGGCAGAGGGAGAAGCAGGCTCCCCTGCTGAGCAAGGTGCCGGATGTGGGACTTGATCACAGGATCATGACCAGAGCCGAAGGCAGATGCTTAACCAACTGAGCTACCCAGGTGTCCCTCTCTGAAGTGCTCTGGATTGTAGTTCTAGTTCAAGAATAGGATTCTAAGAGTGTGTGTGTTTAGTAAGGCCGGCGCTGCTGGAGTAAAACCAAACCAGTTTGCTTTTTTATCATTTAATCAGTTTCTGATAATGTTTCTGTGACTTTTGAAATAACAAAAACAGGCCATGGTTCTGATAGAGAATTGTTAAACCATTACAAAAAGAAGTTAGAGAAAAACGCATTACCCCACCCACTAAAAGATAACTATGAACTTTACTGAATACCCTTTTCCATGCTTACATTCCTGTTTTTTAAAAAAATAACAGAAGTGAGATTTTGCTACATATATTAACATGTTTTCTCCTTAACTTGAAAACAATCTTTCTATTGCTAATACATTACTACAATTTTTTTCAAATTGAGGAATACTTTTTTATTACGCCACAATTTATTTAATCTGATTTTTCTATATGGTGAACTAGTCTTGACTATTCTTTTCTTCTTCATCCTTAATTGCTTCTTTGAGCAATTCCAAGAAGTGTGATTAATCTTCTATGTTTAGTGCTTTCTTGAAAGTGTCACGTAGAGGGGTTCCTGGATGGCTCAGTCAGTTAAGCTCAAGTCATGATCCCAGGGTGCTGGGATTGAGTCCCATATGGGGCTCCTTGCTTAGCAGGAAGCCTGCTTCTCCCTCTCCCTCTGTCTCCTTTCCCCTGCTCATGCTCATACTGTGTTTCTCTCAAATAAATAAATAAAACCTTAAAAAGTCTATGAGACAGACTTTTTAAAAATTCAATATTTTAGGGCAATAACATACTCAGACTAATTTTCTTTTTTAATATTTTATTTTTTGC